ATACAATTATTTTGAAACATTTTAATAAAATTCTTTATAACAAAATTCAATTATTTTATTAAATCAAGAATTTTATTAAAATTTCTCGAAAGAATTCAATTATTTTAAAAAATTTTAATAAAATTCTTCGAAAAAATTCAATTATTTTGAAAATTTCTTTAAAAATTCTTTATAAGAATTCAATTATTTTCAATTCAATTTTTGTTAAATTGATTGAAAGAATTTTAATTATTTTCAAAAATATTAATAAAATTCTCTTAAAAAATTAATTTATTTTCAAAAACTTTAATTAAATTTTTCGCAACAATTCAATTATATACAAAAATTCTAATAAAATTCTTTAAAAATATAGAATTGTTTTAAATACAATTTTAATAAAATTCTTCGAAAGAATTTAATTATTTTCAATATTTTAAGAAAACTATTCGTTAGAATTCGATTATTTTGATATATAATAAAATTCTTTGTAGGTATTTAATTATTTTCAACACCTACAATTTTAATTAAATTCTTATAAACAATAAAAAATTAATTTGAAAAATTTTAATGAAGTTTCTCGAAAGAATTCAATTATTTTCAAAAATTCGAATATAATTCTTTGAAACAATGAAATTCTTCATAGAAATTTAATTATTTAGTACAATTTTAATATAAGATTGAATTATTTTTAAAAATTTTAATAAAATTCTCCAAAAAAATTCAATTATTTTCAATTCAATTTTTATTAATTTCCTGGAGAGAATTAATTATTGATTTTCAAAATTTTAATCCTAATTCTTTTATAAAGAATTCAATTATTTTTAAAAATTTTAATAAAGTAATAGAACAAAATAATAATAGTTCATTTAGGAATAAATAATTAATAAATATTTAACTGTTTGAAAAATTTCACCCCTTTTGTAAGATTTTTAATTTTCTTTGCTACTTCGGCTCTCGAGTATAAACTTTTCGGATAAATTTATCTTAAAACCTTAAAAAATATTTTTAAAAAAAATTTTTAACTTTGTAAATTGATATTTACCGAACGAAATTATATTTCTCGTTAAATTATTCCACCTGTGTCCTATTGAAGGTATATAATGATTTCATGTACTCCCACGTAGGTACATATTTACGCCTGTGCCCCCTTAAGTTCACCGACCTGTCTGCTATGTTTTATCACCTACATTGTTTTCATTTTTTTTTTCATCCTAAGTTCCAGAAATTCCTGTGACAGAAATTTTTAATCACAACCAACGTTACTTCACATTATTCTCCCCTGGTTATTCAAACTCTGAAACAAAAAATTGCAAAACAAAAAAAATGAAACAAAAATAAAACAATGAGAATCAAAAATTTGTCAATCTTTAGATTTTTTTTCAATTTTATACTTTAGTATATAAAATTGAAAAAAGAAAAAAAATCATATAGAAGTAATTTTGAATTTTCTACTTTTTTAAAGAACAAAACTTAATTTACGGTTGCGCGAAAAAGAAAGAAAGAAAAAATGTTCTTACCGCCTTAAAAAAAAACGTGATGAGAATATAATTGCGGGGATTAAACCGATTATTTCGCCTCCTTGAATATTTCAAAAAAATGTCCGTATCACCCTAATGCAATTTTTATTAGGGAACATTTTTCATCATTAAGGATTAAATTTCTCCTCTCCCCTGTAAAAGAACAAAGAAAAAAGAAGAACAATAAGAAATTAAGACATTTTTTAATAAAATATATTGAAAAATAAAATTTCTTTCATTGATTTATTGAATTGAAAAAATAAATTGAAAAAATAATTCTTTTGAATTTATTTTTTTAATCTAATTATTATTATATGTAGAAAAAAAGAAAAATAATTTGTACAATTGTACTTTACTTTTTGCTCCCCAAATTTTGGATTATTTACGCGACGATTTCCAAAAGTAGATGAGAGGATTAAACTTGATTTCTCCATGGCGGATTTACGCCTTCATGATCAATCCCAAAGAATCCATTTCGTCAAAGGGAATTACCAGCCGAGATGAAATTCTGAGTAAAATCCTTCTCGACAAAAATCCAGACATTATTTCTGACTGTTGAAGCGAAATAATGAATCTCGGACCAACTGTTACTTTAATTTAAAAGAGACTCAGAAGAAACACCATATAAATTCAAGAAAAAAAGAAGTAAACAATTTTTTTCACGGTTTATTGTTTACAATTGTAACAAATAATTACGAGAAATTATTATTACTTTTTTTACTACTGTATTTTATTATTATTCTTTATTTTCAAAATTTTTTTAAAAATTCTTCAGAAAAGTTCAATTATTTTCATAAATAAATAAAATTCTTCGGAAAAAATCAATTTTTTTCATAAATAAATAAAATTTTTCGGAAAAATTCAATTATTTTAATAAATAAATAAAATTCTTCGGAAAAATTTAATTCTTTTCATAAATAAATAAAATTCTTCGGAAAAATTCAATTATTTTCATAAATAAATAAAATTCTTCGGAAAAAATCAATTTTTTTCATAAATAAATAAAATTCTTCGGAAAAATTCAATTATTTTTATAAAAATAGTAAAATTCATCGCAATAATTCAATTATTTTCAGTTTAATAAAATTTCTCGAAAGAATTCATTTAATATTTCTTTAAAAATTTGTAATAAAATTTTTCTAAAGTAAAATTCTTTCGCAAGAATTTCAATTTTTTTTATAAATAAAATAATTCTTCACAGGAATTAAATTATTTTCAATACAATTTTAATGAAATTTTTTTAAAAGAATTTATTTATTATTTTTAAAAATTATAAAATTTATTTAAAAAAATTTATAATTACTATTATCAAAGTTATGATAAAAAATGATTTATATGATCTTTTTAATTTACAATTATTAACAGACACGATTTATTATTTAAAAAGGTAAAAGAAATTCTTCGTAAAAGTCTCGCATTATTCGCAAGTACTAAATTATTTTTTATAAATAATAACATACTTCGGAAGAATTCAATTATTTTTATGAAAATTAGAATTTTTTGCAAAAATTTAATTATTTTCAACAAAATTTTAATTAAATTTCACGAAAGAATTCAATTATTTTCCAAAATTTAAATAAATCCTTCAAAACAATTCAATTATTTTTATGAATAGTAAAATTTTTTGGAAAAATTCAATTATTTTTAATTCAATTTTAAAAAAATTTAATTGAAATATTCCATTTTTAATAATATTTTTTCGAAAAAATTCAATTGTTTTATAAAATTTTAATAAATCCTTCAAGACAATTAAATTATTTTTCTAATTTTCAATTAAATTTCACGAAAGGATTCAATTATTTTCTAAAATTTTAATAAATTCTTCAAAACATTTTTTAATTTCATAAATAATTTTAATTTTATTTTTATAAATATTAAAATTTTTTGGAAAAATTCAATTATTTTTAATACAACAATTTTACTAAAATTTAATAGAAATATTCAATTTTTAATAATATTTTTCGAAAAAATTCAATTGATATATAAAATTTTAATAAATCCTTCAAGATTAAATTCAATTATTTTTCTAATTTTTAATAAAAATTTTCAAAAGTATCCAATTATTTTCTAAAATTTTTAAAAGTCCTTCAAAACAATTGAATTATTTTTTTAAATAGTAAAATCTTTGCAAAAAGTCAATTACTTTTCTTAATTAGTTATAATTTTTTTTAAAAATTTCAATTATATTCTAAAATTTTAATAAATCCGTCAATTATTTTATTACTATTTTTTATTTTTTTATTTTTTTATTATTTATATTATTTATTAACCATTATTTTTTTTACTATTTATTATTGCTTTTATTATTTATTCACTTTTATGTATTGTTTACTTTTATTTTATTATTTATTATTATTTTTGTAATTTTTTGGCATGATAATTAATAACTTAAATTACTCTCCTTTTTTTCATCATTATTTTTCTTCGATCATTGAAGTCTTTCAAAAAAGAAAAAATTGAACGAAATTGTTCTCCAGCTCTTCTTTTCTGAAATAAGAGAAATTCTTTTTTCTTTTTTTTGCAAACTTCCGCATTCTCAAGTAAAATGGGATTAGTAGTAATAGTGTGTCTTGCTCTTTTTTTCCATTGTTTTGTTTTTGAAAAAGACAAGTCAATAAGTCAAGGACGATCCGGGTTGTTGGACGAGATACCATCTAGGGAGGGACATCGGGGTCATTATAAAACTCACCTTTCCTTTAACTTCCATGTGGGGTCCTGAGAAATCATGTTCACATGGTTTGTATCGATAGACTTGGCATAGGACACTATATAGATAATGGAGTGAAAGTGGGACACGGTTAAAAAAAAAATTTTTTTTCTTTTCTCCAAATCCACAATTTCCATCGTTGAATCATATTATTTTCCAGTTTCCACAAAATTTCTCCGGATCCAGATATTCACATATGAAACAGAAGAGAAAAAGTGGTTTTGAATTAGTATTTTTAATTCATGAGGGGAAAACTTAACGTGAATTGAATTTATTGGAAAAATAAATCATTTTTTTTTGAATTCATAATTATTTTGAATCGAGTCATTTGAATTTTAATCATTTGATTCATTTGAATTATTTTAATTAGTTGTAAATTTAATTTAACTTGATTTTATTTGCTTTAATATCTATCATTTGAACTTTATTCAATTCAATGTAATTTAATTGAAATTAATTTGATTCAATTTAATTCAATTTAATTAAAATTAATTCAATTAAAATTAAATTTAATTCGATTAGTACAATTTAATTTGATTTAATATAATTTAATTTTATTTAATTCAATTTTAATTATTTCAATTTTATTCAATTCAAAAAATTTAATTGAAATTAATTTGATTCAATTTAATACTTGTGTAAGTGAAAATTGAAAATTCTCGAATTTCCAAGACTTTTACAATTATTTTAATAAAATAATTATTTGAAAACAATTTTATAGAGAATTATTAGAATAATTAAAAAATTATTGTCCAATAATTCGAAATGCAAATTAAATATTTATTTGAATGTTTCAGTACCGAGAAAAGCGAAGCCGCCTCTCCTCGGCAATCCTTGTTTATCAAAATTACTGGCAGGATTGCAAATGTTTATCGGAATAACAATAACGTCTTTGTCATTATTCCTTCTTCTCTGGACGCCCAGTTTGCAAGATATCGACAATCCATACTGGAGCGGATTACCTGTAAGTTATAAAAAAAATTATTATTCGCTTTTTTTATGAAAAAAAAAAATTAATTTTTACTTACAGTAAAATTCTTCTCTTTCTCCTCCATTTCTATTTTTTCCTCCATCCAGCTACAATAGAAAAATTAATAAATTTTTATTTACTACGACAAATAATAAAAATTTTTTGATAAAATAAAATGTAAATAAAGAATTAAAAATAAAAAATAAAAATAAATAATTAAAAACAAAAAATATAAAACAAAACAAATTTTTTACAGCTCTTCATCTCTGGAAGTTTTGGAGTATGCCTTTTGTGTTGCTTCAAAAAAGAATACCCAAGAATGAGTCCAGGCTTTTGTTTGACCACAACAAAGGTTAGCAAAAATTTCAATATTATTTTTAAAATTGTTATTTTTCTTCAAAAAAAAAGCAGAAAAAAAAATTCTCGTCTCACTTTATATAATGAAGGGGTTTCATTTTTTTTTTCTCATTTTCATTCCACACAGATAATGAGTGCCTTTCTTTCGACTGTGGCCGCGGTTGCTTGCATAATTGTTTGCATTGCAACAATAGTGCATCTGGTACGACTCTCAGGACTCGAATGCAGTTCCACAAGTTTTGCAAGTTCAGGATCCTGTGTCTGTGGGACAATTAATAATTCAACACTCACTCGAGAGCCAATTCTTAAATATTACGATCTCACATGTAATGAAGTAAATAATTTATTTACATATCTCTTAATATTTTCCGCCTTCAGCAATGCACTTGGAATTATTGTCGCTGGCTGGTACAGTTATTTGCACTTTTATTCTGAAAAACAAAGACCACAATATTTTCAAGTGAGAAGTAATATTAATTCAGCTGGCAGTACACTTAATTCTAGACCAATTTACAATCCAACACACAATGGACGATGACGTCCAGGATTACCGTCGAGAATACGACGGAATTACATTTTATTTGAGGCCTATGTTGTATAGGTGTTGCGGAAGAAGAAAAAAAAACATTTTATCCACAAAACTTCCTCTGGAAAAAAAAATTTTTCTAATTACAGAAATATTCGATTTTTAAATGCGAAGCAAACATTTAAAAACAGTGATAAAGAGTTTTTTTTATCCCCGTAAAAATAATTCACACATATCCGAGTGTTTTTACAATTTAGTAAACTTCAGTATTTTAAATGTAATTGTATGTCTGAGAATTCATGTGCACGTGTCAATTTACATATCTACTTAATTTTTAAGAAATAATTAAAAATTATAAGTCTTGAAAAATTTCCCTTTTCCGAACTTGAAAACGAAAATTTCCTCTTAATATTTATTGTCACGTAAACTAGAAAATAATTTACAGTTTCAAAATGTTTCACTTTTAAATTTTTGAAACTATTTCCTTCGAACATGTAAATTATTTTCTAGACATATAAACAATGTCGAAATATTTCAGATTCAAAACATGAAATCGATTAAAAATATACAAAATTAATCTTGTACAATTGTAATTTGGTAAAATAGCCAAAAGTCACAAGAGATCAAAATTCAAGATGAAAGAAAATTACAAACGAAAAACAAGGATTATTTACAGAAATGGAAAAAATAAATCCAAAGATTCTCTTCACTTTCTGTAACAAATACCTTTAATTATATAATTATATATATATATTTAAACGCTTTTACAATTTGTGTATATCGTCAAAGAATAATACGAGTGTACCTTAATTTAATACTTATAGTTAAATATCGATATTTAGAAAATAATGCTCACTAGCCTGTACATATTATTTAAAAAAAAACGAACGATTGATATTAATATTTTATTTTAATAAATAATACTTTTTCGAAAATATTGTAACTTTTTTTTATATTAAAAAAAGATGAAACTTCTTTTAAAAAGAAAAATAATATTCAACTCACACAAATTGTCAATGGATCATTTTTAATTTTTCCAGAACAAAGAAAAATGAATCGACGTTTTTGCATTCATTTCCAGAATATTATCTATTTATATCCTAGTCTCTTTCGATGAGAGGTAAATTATTGTAATTGAAAATTTTGCTTGTACATCGCTAAAAACAAAAGAAAAAATAAAATTCAGTCAATTACAAAAAAATGGAATGTTTAAAATTGATTTTAAACTCAAAATTATTAATGTTAAGTAAAATTTCTAATTTAGAAATAATTGATAAAATTTAATCAAAATTATCAAATTTTTGCGTTTTTTTTAACGAAAAAATTTTTATGGAGAAAACATTGTTCTCTTCAAATTATACATTTTAAAAATGCATATCGAAACAAATTTTACGTATAAAACAAATAATAATAATAAACTTTAAATAAAAGTTATTTAATTAAATTGTAAAATTTTTCATTTTGATAAATAACATTTTTTTTAACTTCGACATATTCGAAACATATTTAATTAACATTTAATTAATATTGCAGAGAAGTTATATCTTCTTTAAATTACCACATATTTTTCGAATTCCTTTTTCGTATTTCGAAAGAAAATTAATATTCATTTAAATTAATTAAAATCTAAAATATTTCATTTTGATAAATAAAAGTTTTTTTTCAATTTCGACGAATATGTATCGAAACAAATAGTAATAATAATAAATCTATTCAATTAAATGTTTCATTTTTGTAACATTTTTTTTTCAACGAAAACAGACAAAAATAACATAAAATGCTTCCTCTAGGAGGATAAGCAATAATTTAGAGATTTTTTCGAAATTTTTTGGTTTTGCAGTCGATTGCAATCGTAGTAAAAAATACCTCACACTTCTATAATGATAATAATAATAATAAAAGAATCAGTTACATAATCCTCTCGCAGACAATTGATATGAGATAAATTGAGTAAATATTGTAAACGCTTCTTAAGGCAAGTAAAAGGCTTGTTATAAAAAATCTTTTTTATAAACATTAAGCATCCATTAAATTAACAGCAGATGGTGTCAAGTTGCATTGATATTCGCCAAACAACATTGCTGCCAACCATCTGTACTGCTCATCTTTCGAAGCACCAGCCAATGTGTAGCCAAAATACGGATTTTCCTTGCACCTGAAAATAAGAAGAATAATTAATTCGTTATCTATTTTTTTTTTTTTTTTTGTTAGTTATTAATTTTTGAATTGGTTACTCACCTCGTTGGCTTATTATTTTTCAAAATGAAAGTGATGCACCAACTGTAAATAGATTTATATTTATATTAAAATTACAATAATTAATTAAATTCAATCGAAAATCACCTTTTAATTTTAAATACTTTAAAATAAATTTTCGTAATTATTATTACAAGTTTCCTCAATTTTTTGCCCGCAGTAATTTTACAATATTGGTCTATATTTACCCCATCTGTGGATTCCTTTTTGGCTCATGTCCCAAATACCAAGCGATGTCTTCAATTCGCCATTCGTGCAATTTTACAGAACAAACTTTATCTTTATAGCAACACAACTTCGCCTGGCTAAATTCAAACAAGTAACTCTTGAAATTCTTCGTTTTTGTGTCAGCGAATTTCAATTCACCAGAAATTGTCATGGGAGGTTTCACCTGAAAATTACAATAATTTGCCATTAAATATTTTAATTATTTTCCAAACAATTGTGTACGAAAAAGAAACAATAGTAAAAAATATACTTTTTTCTGGATTTTATCGTCCAAATGTTACTTAAATAAAATATATTCTTCCGTCTATTTGTTTTGAACAGAAAAAAACCAATTTCAAAAATTAAAAATAAAATTAATACAAAACTTGTAAAATAATAGAATAAAAATGAAAAGGATTGGCGAAAATAAAGAAAGATTTTTTAGAGAAGGCATTATTCGAGTGAGAAATTAAATTCGAAGAGTATATAAAATAAACTCCCTCCGTTTAGAATGGCAAGAGGAGGAAGAGTATTATAAACAAAATGATGTCTAATTTTTTGCGTTGAGAACTTAACATTGTCAGCATGCATGCGTAAATAATTGACACATTTCAAAGCTGCGAAGCACTCGGTCAAGTCCAATTAGAGTTACATCCTGTTTTTCAGTATGGCAACTATTTCTTTCATCTTCTGACTCACGCAATCTGATCCGCCCTATTCCAGTATCCATATACTTTACCATAGTGGGAAAGTTTCACCCTCTAGTCTTATAAAATGACCCTGAACCTCTCTTTAACTTTAATTCATTTGCCTTTTTGATTTAATTCAAATTCCACCTCATTTCAATTCTCAAATATTCCCACTATTTTTCTCTTCTCTTTTTCCCAACTGCGTGAAACTTATTTCTTTGCGAGGGATTTATTTCAATCAACGTTCAACAAACATATTAGTAATCATAATACAAAAAAAAACGTATTAATAAATAATAAAATATTTTAAATTTAAATTAAATTCCCTTTTTGCGTAATTATTTTGAGACAGAAAAAATTTTCCAAAATAATTTTTAAGAGACAAATGACTAGAAGAATAAAAAAAAGTTTGAAGTAAAAAAAACAAATGTTGGACGAAAAAAAACTTACTAAAGGCACAATATCTTTGTAAAGTCTATCTTTTCTGAGAATGAGAACATTGTCCTTTCTGTCGTCGGGGTCCCAGTATCCCCACCTGGCAACGACCTCCAAAACTCTCTCACTGTGATGAAGAGGACGTTCCAATGCACCAGAGAGATCGTATTCCTCTAAACAAAGTTCATGAGGCGCACAGTTTACTTTATCACCGAATTCTCGACAAATGTCGAAGGCAGTTTTTTGCGGTCCAATCTGCAATTTAATTTTATAAATTAAAAACAATCCTGTAAGCAGACTAATTTACAGAATTGACAGTAAAATATCAATAGAAAAATTAAAGACAGAAAAAATTAAAAATCAAAAAATAAGAAAGAATACAAAAAACAAAAATAGAAAAATAAAAAGTCGAAGAATAAAAAACAATAAAAAAATAAAAAGAAAAAAGAAAAGGAGAAAAATAGGGAAACTAAAGAGAAAATAGTATTTAAAAAATAAAGAAATAGAAAAACTAGAGACAAAATAGTAAAAAAAATACAGAAATAAGAAAATTGTGAAATAAAAAACAATAAAAAAAAATAGAATGAAAGAGACAAGTGTAAAAATAAGAAAAATAGAAAAATTAAGAAGAGAAAAGTAAAATGAATTCAAAAATAAAAAAATAGAATAAATAGAAAACCAGAGAAATTAAAAACGGAAAAGTAAGAAAATAGAAAAAACAGTGAATCGAAAAGTAAAATGCAAAAGAAAAAAATAGAAGAATAAGTAAAATATGTAAAATAAAAAACTAAAGAGGGAAAAGTACATAAAATAAAGAAATTAAAAACTGAAGCCAGAAAAGTAAAAAAATAGATAAATAAAAAAATAGAAAAATAAAAAAATAGAAAAGTAGAAAAATAAGAAAAACCAAAGGGAGAAAAGTAAAAAAATATAAAAACAAAAACAAATTGAAAAATAAAGTCCAAATTAATAAAAATAGAAAAATAAAGCAAAAATAAAGAAAAATAATAAATTTTTAAAGGATAATTAAGTTATTTTTTCCCCACTAACCGTGACATTAACACATTCGCCCTCTCTCGACAAGAGATAAATCCAAATTTTCAAATCCCCAGACGGAGCACCTCTCAATCCATTATTTGAAATATGATGACGCTCGAGAACCTCCAAAATTTTCGCCTCCCTCGCAAGATCAGCGGCCGAAAGTTTATACAATTTTGGATACAATCTCACCAAATCGGCGACAACTTTTGATTCCAATCGATTCCAATCCTCGGCACTATTTCCACCGGCGTGCATTAATGTTGGCCCCCATATTGCCGAAATATTGTCAACGGTCATTAAATTTTTCGAACTCTTTCGCGTTATACAGTGAAGATGCTCAAGAATTCGATGAAGCGTCGAAGTTGTAACGGTATCCAAATTCGTAAGTAGATTTCGATATGTCGTCACCTTCTCATCGTCACTGGAAATATCTGGGAAAAAAACAATTCTAATTATACATTCTTTTTTTTAAATTAAGGCAAGAACATTTTTTTTTTTTTTTTGAATAAATTAAATTACATTATTTAAAAGTATTATTTAAATTACGTTTCAAATTAGTATTTAAATTAATCTAATTGAAGTAATGTAATTTAAATACTAATTTCTACTTTTAATTTTTTTTATCTATTGATTATTTTTTCTCTCCCTAAAAAAATTTTTCTTCCTCTAAATTATTTCAAAAAATTTTGAAAAAAAAATTTCGGAAAAAAAATTTCCGTTCTTTAGTTTCCGATTTAAAAATTAATCAGGTTGAAAATTGTTGACGTCCTTCGATGATTGGTCAACGGCGCATGAATCATCGTCACGACAATACTCTGGTCGGACGAGCAACTAGTACATTTGATCGAATCAACACTCACGTACTTGAGTTCAATGCTTCTTGTTAAGTCATTAAAACGACGAGTTTAGACAAATTGGAATTACATAATTGTCAAATAAATAGGTGACAAAAATTAAATGAATAAAATTAAATACATACAATGTATTTAATTGACTAAAAAAGTAAAACTACAAAATTATCAATTCAATCAATTCTAATTAGTTTATTTTAATCTATTATTTATCAAGTAAATGGATGATGAAAATAAAGAAAAACTTGTTGCATCAATTGATTAAGATTTTAACAGTGATGAACTATTTTAATGAATAGACTTCTTTGACTTATTCTTTATAGACCAAAACCCAATGGATTTCTAGAAAATATAAACGAGTTCACGTCTTAGATTAAAACAAGCGGATAAAATTAAAATTCGCCGATTGTGAACGTGGACTTTCTGAAAAATTATTTATTTCCATGTTAATTGTTAATTTATTAAATTTACTTCTAAATAAATAATACTAAAAAACATATTTTTTGATTACCTACCGAAATTTAATTTAATCAGTAAATTGACAATTTTAATTGAAGTTAAAAAAAATTACCAATTGTACTGCAAAGTTGGTCGTGAATTTTCGAAGGGAACAAAGGATCCGGCAAATCGCGAAGAAATCTTCTCAAAACGGTTGCGACATCGTGCTCTGAATATGAATCTTTTGTAATTTGTGTGGCCCAAGCATCACGTCTGAAAGCTTCCAATAACTTGACAACTGCACTGCTAGATCCACTTCGACGATAAATGCCCTCAGTCATTATTCCTGCAAGCAAAAAGGATAAATATAATTCACGCTCTCCATAATCTAGTCATCAGATATCTTGCTCCAGTTCTTATCTCAATGAAACATTTCCTCTCAATTTCCACTTCAATTCTCATTTTCTTTCCTCTAAAATACATTTTTAAATTGTTTTTAATTCAATAATTTTATTCACACAAATTAGAAACGAATTTTCAGCCATTTGAAAAAAAAATCTATATATAAAGTAAAAACAATCTATTAAGTAAAAAAAATCAAAAAAAGTATCTAAACTATCTGTAGAAAATTTTTAAAAATACATAAGCGGAAAATATTTACAACAAGTACAATTAGAAGAAAAAATAAATACAAATTAATAGCTCCGCATTAACAATAAGGAAAAATACAGAAATTAAGTACTATAAAATTAAAGTTTACTATAAAATTGAAAAAGCTATTTTCCTTTCTATCATAAGAATACTTTTTCTCAATAAATTTATTTTCCAACTTTGAGTGTTACGAGGCCAGAAGATCATCAAACAAACAATATACACGCTACATTATGCAATTATGGACTAATATTCCTCAGAAAATTCTTTTCAACAATTCCGTCAATAATTATTAACATCCTTTGTTATAAAAATATCACACACATCATTTTTTATTACTTCATGACTAAAAGTTTTTCCTCACTTCAATCTAAAAAAATACGAATCTAAATTTATCAATTGAACAAATTATTTTGTTAATAATTAATTTTAATTTCAATTTATTTAAAGGATCACAATAATTAATATTACACTTTTTTTTATTTAAATAAAAATTCGATTTAAGTCTATAAGCGAAAGTCGGTAGCCAGGAAAATAAACAAATTAATCAAATGGTCTTAGATATAAATGATAATGTTAAACAATCCATAAAGGAATAGGTCAGATAAGAAAACTGGATTTGTCAATAGTGACCGACTGTAACAATTGCAAAATCATTGAGTACAATGATAACAAAAATCTCTCTCGATTCTTTTTTTCCAAGTTTAGCAAAATTTTTTTTCACAAAAAGGTAAGAAAAAAAATATATTTATCCCAATAGTTGAAAAGTAAATAAATTTCACTGAATTAAAAAAAATTGGAATTCAAAAATTTGAATTGTTAAAATAATTGCTAAAATGAGTGCGAAAAAATTAGTATTCACTCGAGAATAAAAATTTTTTCCGGAGGCTCACCATGGGCGTAGATGAAGTTGATGCATTTATCAAGAATGACAGGCACGTTATCTTGGTTAAGTTGCTGTTGATTTAAAGCAGGACCGGAATTCGTCGCGGCCTGATAAAAAGCGTGTCTCCATGCTGCAGCTTCACTGGACAAAGGTGCAGCCAAATGAAGTGCTCCTGAGCCCCCAGCATCCACCACAACAACAGGAATATTTCCAGCCTCAGGTTTCGGTCCATCTTGCTCTCGTAGCACTAAAATCATTAACAACAATCTTAATTTAATTGCAAACTCAATTTTATCACTACTTTACAATTATAAATTCAGTTTATTAATTTTTGACAATAAAATAATAATTTAGTAGCAATTAAATCAAATAGCAATTAAAATCGAAATTCGCACGAAAACGATAGTTTTCGTGTGAATTTCGATTTTAATTGCTATTTAATTTTATATAATAAATAAAATATACGAACTTCGGACCCATATATTTATTTTTGCAATAAAAAAATGAAAATTAATTATTAATTAATTAATTATGAAAAAAAATTTTCTACTGTAATTAAAAAATAAAAAAAAATTGTTTCTGAGATTATTAGTATTAAAAATAATTAATCATAAAAACAGTAATACAGTGAATTTTTTTTTTTAAATTGCTGAAAAAATTTATTAATATTGGAAACAAATGAATAATGACAAAAACAGTAATTCAGTCCAATATCTATTGACTGAATAGAAATTGGAATATAAAATTGATCATTCCAATCAATAAGTTATAAATTAATAAAATTCACACGAGGTTTTTCTATCTCTGACAGTATCAAGTGAACACAGTGCAATCTAGTTTTATTAAACTTGAACTTAGATGCACTGTTTGAAATTTAATACACTTAGATATTATTATTCAGCAAAAAATAGAACTGGAATAGGCGAGAGAGAAATATTAAACTTAAGGAGTTATTTGCATTTTTTTTATGAAACATCGCGCCTTGTCTTATTCACTAGAGTTCTATAGATAAATAAAGAATGATTCATAAGGCATATTATTCAGCTGCGCAATCGTTAAGCGCACACTTTAAAGACTAATATTACACTGTATTAATAAATTGAAACCAACAATAAAAATAAAATATTTCTAAAATTCCTCTCTTCTTTCTTTTTGCTAAAAATATTATTAATTTTTTTTCTGTAGATTATTCTTCTTTTTTTATTATTTTTCCCCCAAAAAAATTATAATTTGTAATAAATTAATGCGACAATTAATTCCTGACAATAAATAAATATTTTACAAATATTTTTCCGAAAAATAAAATAATTAGATGCGAAAAAAAATCAAATTTCGTGGATAAAAAGTTTTGTAAATTTCATCTCGAGATTCTCGAGGAAAAAATGATTTTAAGGTTTTAGTGATCCATTAGCTTAATTTGACAGTCTCAAGGTTACATTAATAAACAATTACTATTATTTTCTTTAGAAATCGTCTCCTAATGGAATGAAAGAGTTGAAAGTTAAACGGTACTTTTAAAGTGTAACGAATATAAATTTTTTACAACGTTTGCAAAAAAAAAAAAAGAAAAAGAGTGCTGTCTCATCAGAAATTATCGCTTCACTTCTGTAACTGTTCTACTTTCCTCTTAAATATAAAAAAAAAAATTTACGTGTAAATTTAAAAAAATCTATCATTAGACTAGTTATTAATATGTAAATTATTTATTTATTCAGTAATTAACACCCTTTCGTATAGTAAAATTATTAATAAGTAACGAATATTTTTTTTAACCACCGAATTAATTTTTTTTCGAATCATTATTTATTTTGTAAAATATTTATTTGCGAGAATTAATTATCTTATTAATTTATCAAAAATTTATAATTATTATTACCTATTATTAATTTCTAAAAATGATATTTATAATTATAATAATTATTATTTTAAAATAGTACCAAAAAATAAAAAAAAATTATTAAAGATAACATTTCTAAAATTATTTTCATTTTACAAAAATAATTCTTTCCTAACTCACCGATACAACGAGCCTTTCGGAGATCAATTTTTTCCAAAACAACAGGATTTAAAGTTCGAGTGTAAACCAATGTTCTCTGATGAAGAAGAACCCAGGCCGGAAACCAAGAACCCGTGACACCTTCCTGAAAAAGAAGTGACTAATTTTAGTATTCCTAAATTAACTTTTTCCAAACACCTGCGGAATAAATACTTTTCCGACTTTTTCTACTCTTTAGTTTGAAAACAAATTTTTTCACTTTACAAATTTCCAGGAAATTTTTTTTCAATTTATTTTAATACCACAGAGAAGAAAAAAAAGGATATAGGCTTCGTAAACATTTTAATGAGTATCAAATTATGCTTAAATTCTCTCATGATGAAATTTGCACTACGTGTTTTTTCATTATAGTTTTAAAAAAGAAAAATTCTATTTTGCAGTTTCGTCACGTATACTCGGCGCATTTTTTTTTTTGTTCCTCAACTATTGTTTCATTGCAAAATTTATTTGATTAATTATTCTCGACATTTTTTCTCTCCGTCTATAAAATTATAAATATGTAAATGATAAATATGTAAATAATAAATATCTAAACAAATAAATAAGCACGGAAAAAATAATTAAAATTAAAAAATTATTCGTAAATTTCGTGTCGAGGAAAAAATTATTTTGAGTCTTTAGTGATCCATTTTACAAAATTACTGACTAATTAATTAATTAACTAACTAACTAATAGTATTATTATTGTTATTATTATTATTTCTAGTAATAAATAAAAATAATTATTAATTAATTGGTCAGTAATTTTTTATTTTTATTAATATTTTTTCGTGGAAATAAATATACCTTCAAATAAGCCCAGCCAGCTCTGGTTAATAATGAGGTGTATTTAATAGGAAAAACCGGAGTCATCGCCTCTAAAATTCTTTGAGCCCATATTCTTCTTTCCGTAATGCCTTTTGCATAAAAAACATGAACCCTCGGACGTCCTTCACAATGAATTGCAATGCAGTGAACATTTTCACCATCGACTACTCTGAAAATGAAAAAATAAATTTTAATTCAAAAGAAACAGGACGATTCTATAATTTTAATTATTATTCTAAATTCTAATAATTATTTTCCTTCTTCTCCAAAAACGATAATCAAATAAATAAAAATCAATCGTCAGAAAATTTATTTTCAGAAAAATAATTCGTCAGAAAAAGAAAAATAATTTAAATTCAATTAAAAAATTAAAATTTTAATATAAAAATGAAAATTCGATTCAATATTTCCGTGATTAAAATAAATCCATCTAGGAATTTACTTTCCCTTTCCATTAATGAGACATTAAAAAGAAATTTCGCCCTGGCATTTTTATTCACTGCTCATTTACAGACAATAATACGAAAAATAATAATTCACCAGCAAATGAGGGTTCCGGTTTCGCATTTGAAGAAGCAGAGGAAGTACATGCGGGCAAATAATTAATTGAAAAAAAAAATTCAATGACCATCATTGTAAACATACAGATCTCCTCTATTATTAATAAAAAAAAAGAAGAAAATAAAATTATAATCCCTTAAAAGAATTTTTTCATGGGAAATAAAATCTTGATTTAACAGTGTTTATTTTTGTCCTTGCGAGATCGGAACTTTTAAAAATTACAAAGTGGGAAAAACAAGTGATATAGATTCTAAAAGGTCATATAGATATCAGAGAAAATTCAACTAGTTCAATAATAGAAACTTTTATCACATAAACGATAAAATATTAAATCCTTTTCCGCATTTGACATATATGCCAATTATTAATGAGTTACTTAAATATGTTTCAGAAAATTTACTTATACATTCTTTCTTTTATCGGGTCAAAAATGACTTTAGGAATATAAAATATAATTTATTTATAAAGGCAAATTCCATAGGCTGATAAATTGCGTTCAATATTTTTTTTCGCGCAAATGCTTTTATCTTTTTAGAATTTCTCACGTATTTTTATTTATCTATTTTTTCAGATTGGCGCACAAAATTTCTCCTATAAAAATTCTTTCTCCTGTAATTATCAAATTTATCATTTTTTAATCAAAATCCCCTTAAAGAATTTAATTTTTTTTTAAATTTAAATAAAATTCTTCCCAAGAATTAAATTATTTTCATAAATAATAAAATATTCTTTGAAAAAATTAAATTATTTTCTATACAATTTTAATAAAATTACTCGACAATTTATTATTTAATTTTTTGTAATAATTACTAGATAAAAAAAAACATTTCTCAATTATTTTCAAAAATTTTAATAAAATTCTTCGAAAAAAAATTTAAATATCCTCAAAATTTTTGATAAAATCCTTTATAAGAATTTAATTATTTTCAATACAATTTTAATCAAAATCCTCTTAAAGAATTGAATTTTTTAAAAAAGTTTTAATAAAATTCTTAAAAGAATTCAATTATTTTCATAAATAATAAAATTCTTCTTCATAGAAATCAAATAATTTTTAACACAATTTGAATAAAAATATCTCCATAATTTTTGAAAATAATTTCTCGATGATAGAATTTAATTTCCGAAATTTTTAAAAATCTGAATTAAAATTCTTCAACAAAAACAATTAAATTTCCTCAAAAATCTTGATAAAATTCTTTATGAGAATTCAAGTATTTTCAATACAATTTGAATTGGATTTTCTTAAAGAATTTAATTATTATTTAATTATTTTCAAAAATTTTAATTAAAATCCTTCGAAACAATTGAATTATTTTCGTAAATAACAAAATTATTGACAAGAATTCAATTATTTAAAAAAAATTTTAATAAAATTATTCTTTTATTCAGTTTTTCTTTTTATTTTCGTGAAGAAAAAAGTGAAGAAAAACTGAATAAAACTCTTGTAAATTTATTCTTTTATTTTTTATTCATTGATTTCTTTCTTCTTGTATTCAATGTTTTTTTCCTGGTTATTTTATTTTTTTATTTTTTTTATTATTTAATGTTTCACTTATTCTTTTACTTTTCAATAATTATTTTCTTTACGTTTTTCTTTACATTTTCCTGTACTTTTTGATATTTACTCTTTTATTCATTTCATTATTTATTCTTCTTCATTTATTTTACTGATTTTTTTTAATCAACTTTCATCCAGACATAAAATTGTTTATGTATTTTTATTATAATTTTTTTTTCTCATGACTATTAATTGTAAATATAGTTTGTGCGGTAAAATAAAAAAAAAACTCACTTGACATCTTGCAACAGATGAATACTGTGGATCTTTTCAAGGCTAATGACTTCCTTCACAGTTGACATACTTTTATCACTGTAAAACGAGAGTTTTTGATCAATTAAAACAGCGGCTCTCGAAACTAAATCTTTGGCTCTTTCAATTCCAACGCCCGATCTGTAAATCACACCCCTATGACTCGGTGGATTTTGATTTCCCAACGATGTCTTTGGTCTCTCTAATTTCTTCGAATTAACACTCTTCACATTCACTTCAACTAATTCACGATTTCTTGACAATAGCTGTTTACTTCCATTTTTCACAAAATTTAACATATTATTAGGTTTCATTAATCTCTGCATAACACTCGTTCGTTTCTCCTCTGAACTCTTAACTAAAGCACCAGCTGTACTCGACGATGAATTATTATTATTATTATTATTTATAATTGCCTCCTCGACAGTGTCCGAGAGTGATTTATTTAAATTATTATTTTTAATTGCCGATTTCCTTGGCGGAACTGCCGGTTGTTTTCTTGAGGCGAGATGCGCCAATTTTGGTAATAATGCTGGACTCTTTTTTGTTGGTAATTTCTCTGGTGTTTCGACCATTTCAACTTCGTCGTATTCATTTTTTGGTAATGAATCAAAGCGTCTTGGTGGCGTCGGTGGAATTGTGGAAATTTCACTTTGAACTATTGAATCCTCCTCTAATTGAACTTGATCATCATCTTCTTCTGCTGCTGCTACTTCTTCTTCTCTTTCTTCTCTTATATCGTTTGCACTTCCTCCACTGCTCGCTGATTCATTGTTCTCCAAGAAGGCCTTCAATAATAGGAGGTCATTATTTTCGTAATTACTGTAAACGTTGCACTCAGTCTTTGCGAATGGATCAAATTCGTATAATACCGATTTCGATTGCTCTCTTCTTGGGCCTGAAATCATTTTTTTTTACATTTATTAGTTTATCGATAAATAATATGATGAGAATGTTAAAACAAAAAGAGAAAATGTGTCTTTTTTAAAAGAAACAAAAAATACTTAAACTTGGGAAAAATAATTTCTAAAAACTCTAGTATTTACAGGCCATGGATCGAAAAAAATTCGCTTCAGTCGATTGAAGATAAAAGTCAAGAAATACAATTTTGTCACAAAAATTTCATAATTGTATTTTGTTTCTTAACATTTTTAGTAATTTTTCTTTTTAAATATTTTCAATTTTGAAATAAATGGATTGAAAATCATTGAATTCTTGCGAAGAATTGTATCAAAAAATTTGAAAATAATTAAATTTCTTCGAAGAATTTTATTATTAATGAAAATAATTAAATTTTCGATAAATATTTTGTTAAAATTTTCAAAAATCCTAATTAAATTCATTTAGAGAATTTCTTTAGATTTTTTTAAATAATGGAGATTCTTAAATAATTTTTAATGAAAATTTTGACAGAAATTGAATTTTATGAACAATTTCTTTCAAGTTCTTAAAATAATCGTGTTTCTTAATAATTCAAATTAAACAATTAAATTATTGAAATTAATTAAAATTTTCTAAAATAATTAAATTCTTTCGAAAAATTTTATTAAAAATTTTTAAAAAATTGATTTTTTTTGAAGGATTTATTAAAATTTTAGAAAATAATTAAATTCTTTTAAAAGATTGTATAACTAATGAAGAAAAAACTGAATTTTTCCAAAGAATTTTAGTATTTATAAACGATTTATTAAAATTCTAGAAAATAATTGAATTCTTTTGAAAAATTTTATAACGATTTAAGAAAGAAATTGAATTTTTGCATAAAATTTTATTGAAATTAATTAAATTTTTGCAAAGATTTTACTATTTGGAAAAATAATTGAATTGTTTCGAAGGATTTATGAAAATTTTAGAGAATAATTGAATTCTTTTGAAAAGTTTTATAACAATTTAAGAAAAAATTGAATTCTTTCGTGAAATTTTATTGAAAATAATTGAATTTTCGCAAAGATTTTACGATTTAAAAAAATAATTGAATTGTTTCGAAGGGTTCTTTAAAATTTTAGAAAATAATTGAATTCTTCCGTGAAATTTTATTAAAAATTTTTAAAAATTTAATTTATTTACAAAAATAAGGAACCTAATAAGTGAATTTCCAAAAATTTTTATTATTAAATTATTCAGAAATTTATATTTAAAAATAAAAAATTGTATAATTTAAATAAATATTTGCTACTTTTGTTAAATAAATATTCAAACCTAATTTCTATTTACTTTTCCCATTTTTCCCCAGGAATTAAAATTTAAATATTTTAATCTAAAAATCTGTTGAAATTTAATTTTTTTAACAATTAAAACTAAATTTCCTGAAATTCCATTATTTTCTAGAATTTTTTAAATAAACTTTTTCTCTAAATCAATTATTTTTAGTAAACTTTTTCAAAAATTCAGTTTTTAAATTATTCCAAAATTTTGCAATTTAAATTTGAAAAATTGTTTTTTAAAAAATTTTAATTAAATATTTTTCAAAATCAATTAAATTTTAACTAATTTTCAATTTTACTATTTTATTTCATTTTTATTCAACTATTTTTAAGAATATTTTAACTTTTTAATTATATATCTTAATTCAATTACCTTAAAAAAATTATAATGGATAAATTTAAAAAATTACTTATTTTTAAAACAAATTATACAATTTTTTGAAGCTAATTTTCATTAACTTTTATTTTCAAATTTTCATCATTGAAAATTTTTTATTTCTTTAACAATTCAATTATATTCAAAATTTACAATTAGAATTCAGTAAAATTTAATTTTTGAACAATTTTCCTAAAATATTTAAAATAATCAATTTCTTTGAATAAAATTTCACAAAATTTTAATTATTTGACAACTTTTTTTATTAAATTTGCCAAAAATTTAATTATCATACCAAGAATGATTGAAAATTATGTAATTTTTAAAAAATTTGAATATAATTATTTTTCGCACTATAAGTAATAATCGAAATAAATTGTATTTTATTTTGTACAAAAAAAAAATTAGTAAAAGTCCTGAACGTTCAAATAAACAAAATTGATTTATTTGTTCTTCAAATTAAATTTTTTATTACAATAAAAAAATTAATACAAAATTTTCTAAATGTAAAATTTAAGTTTTTAATTCTTATTGCCATTAGTAATTTATGATAATATTTTCAATAAAAGATATTTCGTTCATTAGAACGTAAAAATACTAAACAGACGAAAAATATGAAAAATAATTTCCAAACATTATTCTCTTTAATATTTCAAGGCCTATATTATTAATAAAGAAAAAGAAAAAATATTAAAAATAATTTCCAAAAAATAGTCTTTTAGTATTTATTAAATAAAAATTGATTCTCACCAGACGGGGAATTTTCCTCGTTCTTCACCGAACTCTCATCACTTGATGAATTCTTCTTCAAAGCCCAATTTTCATACAAAGAATTCTGCAAAGACACATGACTAATATTCGAATTAGAGGAAATTCTCTTTCTAATCGGTGGCTCCTCCTCATCAGCACTCGATATCCTGTCCAATTCATCAGTGCCATCAGTCTTATCAGATTTTCCCGTGGCAGCATCGTAAAATGTCCATGAATCCGATCTCGATAATCTTTTCGCCACCTCCTGACTCCCATGAATATCGGACATATTTAAACTCTGATCGGAATCACTTCCATGATTTTGGGCGAATTTCAATAAATTAAATGGCTCAGCGGTGAAGTCACGTTCAGCCCTCTCGGAGAATGTTGAACTCAATGTATCGTAACGACTGCTACTATTTCCCGAAGTGACTGATTGTAATTCATCGTAAATTGATTCATCGGGAAGTGGTGGCGGTGGATAGACGGGAGGCGGTGGACTATACCTCGCACCAGACAAATCCTCTTCATTTTTCACACTCTTCAAATTACTATTTAGTGGACTGTAAAATGAAATTGTACTGAAAATATCATTTGCCGGTAGTGATGTGCAACGATCGTCTTCAATTGGATTTTTTGCTTTACTCTCGATATCTTGAATATCGTCCTGATTGAGTGAGGCCAAACGACGTGTTATTAAATTCTTCACCGACTTCTCCAAACGTATACTCGCATTTCGTGTACTCGATATAACGGCACGTCCCTTTACTGTCATTTTCTCGGAGATTTCATCCTTCAATTGCTTTGAGCATGTACTCAAATTTTTGAAAAATTCCGAATTTGTTTTCGATTCTGATTTTGCCTCGTCACTTTTTTCCGATTGCAACGATTCACTTGGACTTGATGATCTCGTCACTTGCAATGTTCTCGGCGCTGGTATTGGAATTGCTCTCTCTGCTTGGAGGATTGATCTCGGTTTTGGTACCGGTTTCACTTCCATCATAATTTCCTTTTTTTTCTCTCCTCAATTTGAAATTTGAAATTTTTTCATTTCAAGTCTTTTTCTCTTTTTCTTCTTTTCTTCTTTTCTTGATAAGAGTATTTTGAAACGATTAAATCGAGAAGATAGAGAGAATTTGCGATTTATTGAGAGAAAAAATCAGGAAAAAATATTAGTCACCAGAATTGCAGGAGGCACTCACATTCCTCTATCGAATAAAACAAGGAATGGCACGTTTTATAATCTGTCGGGTGTGTTGATTATATGATTTTGAATGAATCACACTGTCTGCTCTTTCAATCTTCTAAATGTCTTTCCGGTATTATAAAGGACTTTGTTTTTTCTTTCCTCTCTTTTAATAAACACAAACTCTCGACGTCGATGGACAAGTTTCAAGCATCAAAGACGGAAAGGAAGTTTCGAGATAATTTTTTTCCTTGCGCTTCGTGAACACCTCTTCTGTAATAAAAAAACAAAAAGACTGATAAGCTCTCGTTATCAATAAAAAAATTTAGATTTGTAAGTTTAATTCGTGGATCAAAGAGATCTAAAACAGGATTTTCGTTTATTTTGCATCTTTTTCTTTTCATTCAATTTATTATCCTTTGTTTCTTTTACTTTTATTCAATTAATTATTATTTATTCTATTTTTATTCAATTCATTATTATTTATCCTGCTTCTATTCAATTTATTATTTAACTAGCAAATTTTTTATTTTCAAATACAAATTTTTGAATGATTTCAGACTCAAATTTAAAAAAAATTCAATTATTAACTAATTTACTAATTAATTATTCTTGTTTAATAATTTAAAAATTTTTAATAAATCTTTCGAAACAATTCAATTATTTTTTTTTAAATAGTAAAATCTTTGCAAAAATTCCATTATATTCATAAATAGCAAAATTCTTTACAAAAATTCAATTCCATATTCAAAACAATTTCACGAAAGAATTAAAATATTTTTAACGAATTAAGAAAAAAATATAATTGAATTTTTTCGAAGAATTTATTAAAATTTTAGAAAATAATTGAATCCTTTGAAATTTTTTATAACCAATTAAATAGTATTTTAGTAAATAGTAAAATTCTTTGCAAAAATTCAATTATTTTTTAAACTTTTAATAAAATCTTCGAAACAATTCAATTATATTTATAAATAATAAAATTCTTTGCAAAAATTTAATTATTTTTCAATTTATTTCATGAAAGAATTCAATTTTTTTTAATTCGTTATAAAATTTTTCAAAAGAATTTTCAAAAATTGTAATCAAATTTAATAATTAAATGTTTAATTTCAATTATTAACAATCACGATTATTTTATAAACTTGAAAGCAATTGTTCATAAAATTCAATTTCTGTCAAAATTTTAATTTAAAATTATTTAAAAAACTCCATTATTTAGAAAATTTTTTTTAAAATTTTAAAAAATTCTCTAAAAGAATTTAATTAGGTTTTTGAAAAATTTTTAAAAAATTCTTATCGAGAATTCAATTATTTTCATAAATAATAAAATTCTTCGAAGAAATTCAATTATTCTCAAATTGTTTGATAAAATTCTTCGCAATAATTCGATGATTTTGAATAAATTAATTTTAAAAATGGAAATTATTTAAAAACAAAAATTATTTAAAAAGTTAGGAACAAGTATATTTAATTTTATTACATTTAATTAACATTATTTTACTGGTAAATAATTAGATTTAATTTAATTAAAAGACAACTGTAAATAATTCATCATAAATTGATGAGAATGTAAATAGTAATGATGATATGATGTAAAGAATTTAAAAGCTTCCAAGAAAAAATTCTTTTGATGCTTGGATAAATAAAATATTATTACTTGCTTTTTGGCACCGTAGATGCCTCATAATGTACATTAAATTACCATAAATCGAAAAAATATGAATAAATGAATTTAATAATTGTTAGAGGGAAAAATTTAATTATTGCCATTATTATATTTTTAAATATATACATTTTTATCGATTCTTTTCTATCGATACAATGACTTTTTAAATAATTTTAAGGCGCAATAGGACAATGGTATTTATCATTTTGCGTGCTGTCACACTGTAATTGATAAGTAAGAAGTTTCAAATGAACTCAATACAGTCGAAAGCACTTGAAAGTAAATAAAATTTCAAGCATTCATAAAAAAAAAATTCATTACCACCTAATTTAATTCAAGAAGAAAGCAAATATTTATTGTTTCTATTTGTTTTACTATTTTTATTATTTAGTTCATTATTTACTTTATTATTCGTATTATTTATTTTATTTATATTATTTATTTTAATTATATTTTTTATTTTATTATATTATTTATTTTATTATATTATTTATTTTATTATATTATTTACTTTATTTTTATTATTCACTTTTTTGTATTATTCATTTATTTTGATTATTTCTTTTTCATTTTGATTCTTCCCTAATATTATTTTCAATTTATTTATTTTATTATTATTAATTTTCATTTGCGCCATTATTATTATTATTATTATTCGTTTATGTTGTGATTAAATTTACTTTTTTGCAACAGTAGAAATTTTTTTTTTTTTACTGTCACCTACTTTAGAGTTTTCCTGATCCACAAATAAAACCACAAACGGATTTTTCTGCAAAGAATCAAATTTTATCTGCCTTTTTTTTCTGTTAAAATTTTAACTTTCGCGTTACTTTAGAGATGAGAAAAAAATCTCACCTGGTCGTTGATCCTCGTCTTTGGCATTGTGATCTCTCTCTCTCTTGAGATGGTCTTTCTCTCTTTTTCTTCCACGCAGACGGAAAATCACGCGTGCAAAAAACAGGCTCCAAAATAAATCCACACAACGAAAAGGTGTCTTGATAAAAAAAAAAGAATATTCTTCCCCACTCACAAAACTGATATTTCCACAATATTCCTCATGAGTAAGAAGACATATTCCTCATGAAGAAGAAATATTTCTCACGAATATCAAGAAATATTCCTCATGAATATGAGGAATATTTACAGCAACAAGTATTCCAAAAATAAACTCTTGCACTATTACTAAAATCAGATCGAGAATCTAGAACAAAAAGATAAAAAAAAAACAAATTAAAATTCTTTGTCATTGATGAATCCATGTAGTCTGACGCATTTCTTCTTTTCTCCTGACATTATTATTACTAATCCTTCAACTGACACAATAATGCAGCATCACAATAAGAAAAAAACACTGCAATCCTCTCTGGAGAACAACACAACTTTTCACTTTCTTTCTTCTTCGTCTCCTCTTTTTCTTTTGAAACTTGCTGGTGTTTGGATAAGACTCAAAGCGATTTCTTGTACCGGGTCAGTCAACTCGGAGCTGTTACAAACTATTAATGAGCACTGATGTTGACAGCTGTTTTCATTGAAATGCAGAAAATAGTATTAGAGAAGAAATCACGAGACAATTTAGTGGTGATGTATTTTTCCTTTTTCCTTCCTCCGATCATAATTTCCAAGAGAGAGATTCTTGAAAACTTTTCTTCATTTTATGAATAATGAATGAAAACGTGTGTATCGAAATGGAAATATGTTTAAAAAAAAATGAATGAGGAAAAAAAAATATTGTGCTGTCCTATTGAATGACAGTCAAGCACTGAACATCGTATCGTATGGCCTGGCATTCGCTTCGCTGGCTTCTCGTTCTCGCTGCTCGCCCCATTTCGCCCACACTATCCTCTCTTCTCCTTCCACTTTTATTACACTCATACCATTCTATGATAGTGAATCAGTGAGTCACTCCCCACTAAACACTTTTCAAATTGTGCTTTATAAAAACTATTGTTAACCATTTATTCTCTTTTTCTCATGTGCATTATACGTTTTTATTCCAGCTCCAGAATTGATCCCTTTTCAACAATTCTCGACAATTAGTTTTTAATCTTTCTCGAATTGCATTTGTGTGGAAAATTTCTGGAAACACTGAAAATTTCAAATAAAGAAATTAATCAAAAGAAATGAAAGAATTAAATAAATAAAAGATAAACAAAATATATATATAGAAAATAAATAAAATGTATAGAAAATAAATAAAATGTATAGAAAATAAATAAAATATAGAAAATAAATAAAATATAGAAAATAAAATAAAAATTTCTGTTAGAAGATACAACAAAAAAATTGTGTTTAAAAATTCGATGATTGTGTGTAAATAAATAGTAAAAGGAATTTATACATTACACAAAAATAAATCCTTATTCGTTGATTTCTTTTATGAATTTATGCCAATGAGTGACAAATTTTAATCCTCTTCCTTGAATTTCATTTATGGAAAATTTGATGGAAACTGGAAATTTTAAATAAAGAAATTAACCAAAATAGATAAATGAAAAAGAAAATAAATAAAAAATAAAACAGAAAATTAACTAAACAGAAAGTTTTTGTTATAAAATAATAACAGAAATAATTAGATAATTTTTTTGTCCAAAAAATAGTAAAATAGAGAAATTAATACATTACACAAAAATTAATTAATTCGCAGATCCTTTTTACGACTTTTGAGTGTTTTGACCAATAAACAATAAGTTTTAATCCTCTTCCTCGATTTTGAATTCCAAAAAATTTAAAACCTGAAATTATAAATAATGAAATTAAACAAAAGAAATAAATTAAATAAATAAACAAATAAATGAAAAATAAATATGTAAAAATTAAAAAATCAAAAAATAAACTAAATTTTTCCAGTGCTGCCAGATGATTAAAACGACAAATCTTCAAATTTTTCTTATTTATCTTCAGAAATCTTTAAACTAGTCAAAAAAATTTCTTCAGATTTTGATTATAATTTTATCTAAAATATGAAAAATTAAATTAAATTTCACAAACATTTTTAAAAAAATAAATTAAAACGAAAAATCTTCAAACTTTTCTTATTTATCTTCAGAAATCTTTAAACTAGTCAAAAAAATTTCTTCCGATTTTGGTTATAATTTTTTCTAAAATATTGATAAATGAAATTAAATTTCACAAACAATTTTAAAGAAATAAAAATTAATATTGTTGTGTTTGAATCTGTTCGCAGTTTGAAGTTAGTTTTTGTTTATTTCTCAACATTTTTTTAATAAATTTTGTTTTTTCAATATTTTGAATTTTAAAATTAATGCAACTAAATTCTTGCAAAGTTTTTATCAAAAAATTTTAAAACAATTAAAGTCATTTGAAGAATTTTATCAAAATTTTTTTTCAATAATTGAATTCTTTCGAAAAAATTTAATTAAAATTATTGAAAATAATTGAATTCTCGCAAAAAATATAAACATAATCAAATTCTTCCAAAGAATGCTATTAAATTATTGAAGATAATTTAATTCTCGCAAAAAATATAAAAATAATCAAATTCTTCTAAAGAATGTTATAAAAATTAAAATTATTGGAAATAATTATTTTTTAGAGAATTTTAAATTCTTGTTGAAATTTAATTTGATGGAAATTTTTGAAAATAATTAAATTCTTTCGTGTAATTTTATTTAAATGGGATTAAAAATTATTCAATTCCTGCAAAGAATTTTAGTACCTATTTATAAAAATAGTTGAATTGTTTCTAAGAATTTATTAAAATAGGAAATAATTGAAATTTATGAAAATATTCGAATTCATCCCAGGAATTGAATTAAAATTGTTTTGAAAATAATTGAATTCCTGCGATGAATTTTACTGTTTATAAAAATAATTGAATTCTTTCAAAGAATTTTTTATTAAAATTTTCGAAAATAACAATTCTTACCAAGAACTTTATTAAAAAATTTTTTAAATAATTTAATTCTTGGGAAAAAGATTAGTTAATTATGATTAATGTTTACTGTAATTACAGAAAAAATTAGATAATTGTGTGTAAAAAATTATAAAATAAAATAATTTATACATTACATAAAAATTAATATTCCTTGATCCTTTTTACGACTTTTCACCAATAAACGATAAATTGTAATCCTCTTCCTCGATTTTGAATTCCAAAAAATTTGAAACTGAAAATTATAAATACAAAAATTAACCAAAAGATATATTAAAAGAAAAATTTATGTTAAAATTCTAATTAGATAATTGTTTCCATAAAAAATGGTAAATAGAGCACATAAAAATTAATTGGGTTAAACATTCTTTTAATTATAAGTAAATATACTCACGAAAATGAAAGTTTCATGTTAATTATCAAAAAAAAGAAAATTCCATCGAGGGGCATTTTCACTGAATAATTTAATCAGTTAAGTACTTTAATTTTTTTTCGCTTCAGTCAAACTAAAAATAAATAGCAACATTTATTAACTTTTAAATAAATAAAATAATGTAACAGAAATTATATTTTGTAATTACATTACAAATATTTTATATTTAAAATTAATTAATTAAATAATTAATTTCTAATTCGTTCAAAATAGATTAAATTTGAAAAAAAATTATTTCGTAATTATTGCACTGACGTTCAAGAAGAAATTTTTGCTCTATTTTTGTATAAAAAACAAATATACTTGCATTTAATTAATTATAAATGATAATTAACTAAATATAAATAATAATTAATTGCAAATAATTAAATACAAAAAATATTTAATTGATAATTAATAATTATTTAAATAAAAATAAATTCAATTTTTTGAATCTGAATTGAAATTGAGAGAAAATTCAAATTATTATCCCACGGCGAAAACTACATTTTAAAAATCAAGTAATAAGTACTTTCGAATTCCGGGAAAATATTCATATGCGTATATTATCCACCTTCGCAATTCTTACATTCTCAGGGAATGTGTAACATACAATTATAATATACTTATAACTTAAACTTCATTAAAATCTAATTTCAGTTGCATTATTATTTTTCTTTTCGAACGAAAGGATTCTGAGTCATTCTGAACATTAATTATATTATATTCCTCGAAGGAAAAAATGATTTATATACAACAAAACTCTCAGGATTTTTTTTTGCAAAAAAAATTCCTAATTTAACAAATAGCTTCTGTTTAAAGTAGAAAAAAAATTTAAAAAATAGAAACAATATTTTTAATTTTAGAACAAAAAAAAATTATTTGACTTTCAAAAAATAGCAACAAAAGTTATAATTATTAGTAATGGGAAACATAAATTTTATTGAAATCTTTATTATTTTTACGATTTAGGAATCGTGACCAAAGTCAATCAGACAACTTTGGATATACAAATCGGTAAATTTTCTCCTTAAGTAAATTTCACCATATCAGGCGCAATCAGAATTAATTAACGAAAAAAATGTTCCCCTCAATTATTCATTTATTTTTACATTCTCATTACGTGCGAGAAAGTATTATTTATATAAAAAAAAATTAACAAACCTAATAATTTCTATTACAACCTATTGAAAGAATAAATTTCAAATTTTTTATCTGTTTGCACCTGATTTTTTCAAAAAATACCGCAGAGACATTGTACCTTAAATCACAATGGCGACAAGTTTATTTTTTTTTCGTTTGTTTAATTTCTTAAAGATCATTAATCGTACGTATCGAGCGCAATAATTTTCGGTGGTTCATTATTTTTCATCAAAATCACCAATGAAAGACAATAATTTTGAAATTTAATATTTAATACTTTGTACAAAAAAAAATTATGGAATTCTTTTTCTCTTTTAATCACAAAGAGAGTAACTTGAAATAAAATTTTTTTTTTGCTCTTAAATTGTGGAAATAAAAAAATTACTTTCATTTGTGTAAATTATTTTCAATTTTTATTGTCTCTCATGAGTGAGATGTGTGCATTTCTTTTTTCTTCACAATCTATATACGCATACTGAGAGAGCAATTAGGAAAATGGGCATAAGGAGAAAGACGAGAATAGAGAGAAGAATTGTGGAACAATAGAGAATTGGAGGAAGCTTGAGTTAGGAGAAAATAATTTGGCACTCCCACGCATACATTTATATGTACGTACATTTATAGTAATTGAGTAACGCACACCTTTTTTTAAAAAAAATGTTTAGTTCGCTAAAAATAACACTCTCAAAATCAATAGTTCTCAATCAATTTTTTCTTTAAAACAATTAATTAATATTACAAATAATTATTAATTAGATAAATTATTAATGAAGTTAACAATTTATTTATTATTTAATTCTTATTATTATTAATAAATAAAATAAATCTTTTAGTTAATTATTTTCAGAGAAATTTTTCGTGTTTAAAATTTAAAAATGATCGAAAACTATTGTTTTTGATTACAAGTAAAAAAGTAGACATTAAATAAAAAATGAAAAAAAATGCGGAAATTTGACTTTTTTTCTTTAAATGTATACTGTAAGTGCAATAGTTATAACATATATCTTTATAATATACGTAATTGTTATTACATTGTAATTTAAATAGTAAATATATTATCACATTTAGATTGTATTAATGTTAAGACGTGTTCCTTTCACAAAGATCCCTTTTCATTTGAATATCACGTTCAAAATTTAAATTAAAATATTCCTTTTCATTTTTTTTTTCGTTTCAATATAAAAATATTTCCCCCAAAAAGTAAAAATTAAAAAATAGAAAAAATTTGTACTTTTAATTTTTTTGTTAACCATTTTTTTCTTTTCTAATTGGTTAAAAATGTACCAAGCGAGAAAAAAAGGGAGCGCAATTAATTTATTACTATTTTGAACATGATTTCATTAAAAGTGATCTCTTAAAACATTAAATTCTAGGAAACATTAATATAGAATATATTATCATGTAGTTTATGTAAGGTATAAGTTATAGGACACTTATGCTCTACAGCAAAAATTTTCAACAGTTAAAAGATTATAACAACTAATTTTTCTCCAGTCACTTGGTATAAAAAAGTCTCTCGACTTTTGTATAAGTTTTTTCTTTCGTTATAATATATTTATATATATAAAGATTTTTAAATACTATTTTATTTGGACTTTAATTCGAAAAAATTATTTATAAACAAAATTAATTAAAATAATTTTTCAATTCTTCTAATTCAATTCTTATTTAAATAAAATAATTTTTTTCTGAAACTATTCTTTACCAAGTGTGCGTGTGAAAATTATTATTCAAGGAGAAAAAAATTCTCATCTTAATTTCCCAAAAAATTTTCCGTTCGTTTGGCACGTACTTTTTTTTCGTAAAATTGTGGCACAACATTTATAATAGAATAATAATTATTTTAATACATCGTAAGTCTGTAATTAATTTACAATTATCGTATATTAGAATAAGACACCATTATATTAAAATCGAATAAAATTTAAGCCGAAAAAATCTATTTTTTATTCAAATAATGGCAGCATTTTTTTAATAACACTGCTTTCAATTATTGTTTTAGAGAAAAATAATTTCACTTCTTTTCGTTGATTCATTTTAGTTTCTAATTTTCTCTAATTTTTTTCCTAATTCTCTTTTTACAACAAAATTTTTCTTTAAAATAATTATCAAAATAAAATTCTATAGAATTTTTCTCTAAATTAAAAAAAAACAATTAATCGATTCAAAAATTTCTAGATCCTTTTTTTTTACTATAAATCAAAAGTTTAGTTATATTTTCAGTCGATAATTGAAAAAGAAAAGAAAAATAATGCAAGGCTTTGGAAATTGGCGTTGCATTTTTTCTGCGATTGACATTTATATTAATATAGTACTTCTTTTTTTTTCACCTCATTGTTGACCAGTGACAGCCATTGTTTAACAATTGTGTGTAAAATTATGCGTATAAAATTGCGCACTGAGCCGCAATGCAATAAAACCGCGTACAAATATAAAATATCATTTCGAATACAATATATATCAAAAGCAAAAAATTATTCTTACTTGACGTCATTTTGCTATTCGTTATTCGCTATACAGATGTGTGTACACATATAATATAGTTAAATATTTTTTGTTTTTTTTTCTTTTCATTAGGCAATTCCGACGAAAAATCAATTCGCGAGGTTTTTCGGAAAAAAATTCCGACGTATACACTTTGATCGGATCAAAATTCAACTTTCTCGACGTTTAATCTGATTGAATTGGTTTTTATAAATTTTTTATTTATTGCAAAAAAATAATAAATTTTTACTCAAAAATAAAAAAGTTTTACTCAAAAGAAAAGGAAAGAAAACATGAATAATAACAATAATTTGATAATAATAAAGAATAATAATGATAAAGAAAATAACAAAAATAGAAAAAGAAAATAAAAAAGGAAATAGAAAAAGTAAACCAAACAAGAAACTAAAAAGAAATTAAAATAAGAAAAAAAAATTGAAAAGAAAATATTTTGATATTTACATTCGATAAATTTAATAATTACAAAATTATTCGAAGTTTATATTTTGTTTCAAATTCAAAATTCATGTCGTAAAATATAATTTAATAAAAATTAATTCCCCATCTAAATTTAACAATTTCTAAATTTCACTACAATATATTATTCCAAATTGAAATTAAATTACCGAAGTAAAAATCGTTAAATAACAATTAAAAATCGTTATTCCTAAATCAGATTAATCGCCAGAAAGAACAGAATTGTCCAGAAAATTCGACGTAAATAAATTTTCTTCAATAAATTCAAGTGAACGATGGTTTTTTATATAAACACACGAGAAATGATTCCAAAAATAATGCATTTATTTTGTTAAAAATAATAAAAATAAATTTTTTTCTTTTGTAAAAAAAATTGTTCGAGCGTTATTAAAATTGTTAGTCGTTGAAAAAACAAAAAACACAAGAGACTACAAAAAGGGAAAAAGAAAACTAGAAAATAAAATAAAATTTAAAAACTGTACATATTTTTACTCAGTCGTTATAATATTTAGGATCATTTCTCGTACACATCTTTTCATTTAAAAATTGCTTAACTATTACGATACTTGACTAGAATGAAATATTTTATGATACATTAAAAATTGACACACATTTATATATTTATATAATATATACTTAGTTGTCTCTTTGTTTTATTATTTATAATTGTCGTCGACATTATACAACCGTTCCAGGGAACATTTTCAAAACCCTGACTTATAAATTGGGAGAAAAGGAGAAAAGTAAAGAAGAAGATCATTTTTTTTTTGTTCCTAGTCGACGAAGTTTTTAAATATGAGACAAGTAGTTGACTTTAGAATAATAAAAAGATAGATAAGGAAGAATCTTTAGGCAATAGCTTCGATCATTTGCAATAACAATTAGAACATTATTCAGAGAATTGGGAATAAGTTTTACAATTTAATTAACTATAGAGGGGATTTTTAGAGTGAAGACGATTTTTATCTTCTTTCTTTTCTTTTTTGGCAAAATAGCACCGTATTCCGTCTATCAAAATGCCAGAGAACCCGAAAGACGAGATATCGCCAATTTCTATTTTCATTTTTAAAATTTATCCTCTACTCAGTCTTCAAATCGTAGCACCAAGGAGAATGTAATTATTAAATTTTCTCAAATTTTCTTTTCGAAAACTACCAATTAGAAAATAAGACTAATAAAAAAAAATAGAATAATAAACAAATAAATACAATCCTTCCTCTATGAGAAAGCAATTCTAATTTTATTATTCTATTCTCTCAATTAATTCAATTGCGAATAATTTTAATATCTACAATAAATAATTCTTACTGCTAATTATTTTCCATTGTGAATAGAAAAAATTTTGGACGGACATTACGCTAATTATTTTCTCGTTATTTATTTAGGGGTATCTCTGGCAAAAAATCGCAGTCTTTGTAGCCGACATTATTCCTTAATCACAACAAAACAAAAAAAAAACTCGAAGTTTTAAACAGAAAAAACTTTTCCTACGAGTTTTTCTTCAATTTCAGTCTTTCTCTATTTTTTATCCAGTCTACAATTCTAGCACCATGGCGCAGCATTATTTGAATGTTCGTTTAATTTTCTCTCTTTCGATTTTTTTTTATTTTCGTTTAACCCACATTTATATGGATTTCGATTATATTGAATTTTAATTACCAATTAATCAACTGCTTTAAGAATATATTTATATATAAGGTCACAGAATCCAAAGTTTTTTTTTTTTTAGATTAAATTATCGACGTATGCATGCATGTTCTAACTAGCCTAATTGTTAAACTATCTATAGGAAGAAATATCCTCGATAAAATTTCATTTAAGACAATATATATATTAATTATTTAATAATTATTTATATGTGTTATCGACTTACCCAAGAAATAATTTTCCAAAATGTTCTATAATATTTTGTCTATGTGTAGATTATTAATTCAATAAATTCCAGTGTAAAATAAGCGGAAAAATAGAAGAGGATTAATTCTTCCTGTTCTTTCTAAATAACATCTAGATCGCTTATTGACGAAATTTAGGACGTGTAAAACTGTTTTTCTTTTCATTCTTCTTCCTCCTCGTTTTTCTTTTTTTTTCTTCTACTCCGACGGAGACGTCGGACGGAAATCCTCTTTCGGCGAGGACGATCATTTTTTAGGCATATTGAATTCAATTTTTTTTTTTTTTTTTTTAATTGGCCGTTTCCGGATTCGAAGAAGGCGAAGAAGGCGATGAGATTGGACTTTGAATAGCTGCCGCTGCAACTTCCCTTATCGTTGGTGCAATCAACATCCCTCGAGGACTAAATGTATCGCAATAAAGATTCTCCTTTTTATGCACCCTTCTCACGTGACTTCGCAAATTATCGCGTCTTGCACTTCTGTAAGCGCAATGGGGACAAAGATGAGGTTTCTCGCCGGTGTGCATTCGTCGATGTTGAATCAACTGTAAAAAAAATTAATAGTCAATTTATTTGTATCAACGAAAAAGAAAATTCATTTCAAACACAAAACAATTATTAAAACAAAGGATATTTTAAGTGAAGACAAATAAAATATTAAAAGAAAGTAAATTATTTTAAGACACGCGATAATTATTAAAAGAAACTTAAAGTTAATTAATTCAAGACTCGAAATAAATATTAAAACAAAATGAATTAATTTGAGACACAAAATAAATATTAAAACAAAGTGAATTAATTAGACACACAAAATAAATATTAAGACACAAAATAATTATTAAAATAAATGAAATTAATTTAAGAAACAAATATACTGAAACACAATAAATTAATTTAGGACCAAAAATAATTATTTCAGTAAAGCAAATTAATTTAAGACACAAATAAATATTAAAATAAAATATATTCATGTTTCATTATATTGAATTCTCATAAAGAATAATTTTATCAACAAATTTTTAAATAATTCAATTCTTTTGATAAATTGTAATAAAATTTTTAAGAATAATTACATTTTTCGAGAAATTCTATTAAAATTGAATTTAAAATAATTGAAATTCTGTTATGAATTTTATTATTTATGAAAATAATTGAATCTTTGTAAAAAATTGTATTATTTATGAAAATAATGAAATTATTACGAAGAAATTAATAAAAAAAAACTAGCAAATGTTACGCGCGGAACGAGATATTCCATTTATTATTGTTATGCAAATTACAAAATTTTTTATTTTCAAATATAAATTTTTCAAATAATTTCGCAATCAAAATTTGAAAAATTCACTTATTAAGTACAAAATTAATTATTACTGTTCATATTTTCAAAAAATTTAATAACATTTGACGAAAGAATTCAATTATTTTCTAAAATTTTAATAAATCCTTCGAAAAAATTCAATTATTTTTATAAATAGTAAAATTCTTCGCATGAATTCAATTAATTTTATAAATAGTAAAATTCTTTGCAGAAATTTAAATATTTTCAAAACAATTTTAATTCAATTCCTCGGATGAATTCAAATATTTTTAAATATTTTCATGAATTTCAATTATTTTCTAAAATTTTAATAAATTCTTCAAAACAATTCAACCATTTTTATAAATACTAAAATTCCATAAAATTCAATTTCAACAAGAATTTAAAATTCTCTAAAAATAATTCAATTATTCTCAAAATATTTTTAAAAAAAGCTCTACATAAAAATTAAATTACTTTCAATGCAATTTTTAAATATATTCGTCAAAAAAATTGAAAGAATTCAATTATTTTCAAAAAATAATAAAATTCTTCTGATGAATTCAATTATTTTGAATATACTTAATTTTCATAAAATTCTTTAAAGAAATTCAATTATTTTCGAAACAACTTTAATTGAATTTCTCGAAAAAATTTCATTATTCTTAAAATTTTAATAAATTCTTCAAAACATTTCAATTATTTTTATAAATAGGTAGTAAAATTCTTCGCAAAAATTCCATTGTTTCCAATACAATTTTAATAAAATTCTTCTTCATAATATTCAATTAGTTTCAAAATTTTGAATTAAAATTATTAAAGAAACTCTCTTAGTTTAAAAAAAATTCAAAGAAATTCTTCAAAAGAATTTAATTAGGATTTTTAAAATTTTTAATAAAATTCTTCGTGAGAATTCAGTTATTTTCCTAAATAATAAAATTCTTTGAAGGAATTCTATTATTATCAAATTTTTTGATAAAATTCTTTGCAACAATTTAATGGTTTTCAATACATTAATTTTAAAATTGAAAATATTTGAAAAGAAAAATTATAAAAAAGTTGAGAATCAACAAATAAAAGCAAACAACAACTAACTTCAAACTTGAATTGAATTTTATATCAACAATTTCTTTCAAGTTTTTACAATAATCGTCTTTCCTAATAATTGAAATTAAACATTTAATTTTTGAATTTTATTAAAATTTTTATGAAATAATTGAATTTTTTCAAAAAATTTCTTTAACTTATTTAATACAATCGAATTTGTTAATAATTGTATTAAAAATAATTGAATTCCTGAGAAGAATTTTTTTATTTATGAAAAATAATTTAATTCTTGCGATGAATTTTACTATTTATAAAAATAATTAAATTGTTTAGAAGGATTTATTAAAATTTTTTTAAAATAATTGTATTCTTTCAAAAAATGTTATTAAGAATTTTTTAAAAAATTGAATTCTTCCATGAAATGTTATTAAATTTGTATTAAAAATAATTGAATTTTTGCATAGAATTTTACTATTTATAAAAGTAATTGATTATCTTTGAAGAATTTTGTTATTTCTCTAAATAATTTAATTTTTTAAGAATTTTTGAAAATAATTTAATTTTTGCAATTTTTTTTTTTTGAAGAGAACCTTTTTTAACTGGACAGTGCGAAAGATGCAAATATCGCAACAGAAGTATCTATCATCGCGATGCCTTCTCATGTGTTTGCTAAGGTCGACTTCCGAAGATCTGTCAGCTCCACAAACTGCACAGCTCACCCTCGTTTCCGGTGCTGTCCCTTTAGCGTGTGCCCTCAAGTGTCTCTGGAAAGCCTTCTCAATGGTGCATGCATATGAGCAAAGAGAACAGCGATATTCCTCCCTCTCGTATCTATAATATCCGGGGAAAAATATAAATATATCATACATTCTCCAAAGAAATCAAAAGAGTTCTATTCTCAAATAAGAAAATTTTAAACTAAATATTATTCAAAAGCTTTTTTATGATATTATTTGAAACACAAAAAAGTAATTAACTAAAAACTTGGATTACTTTTGATAATTTAAAATGGAATTTACTTTAAATTCAGAAAATTAAAATATTTTAATAACATCAGAAATTAAAAATGTTAATGTTTGGAAAATCTTTTGGATTTATTTCGAATTCGAGAAAATCAATCGATTTTACAATTCTCATCATATAAAACAAATTTTTCTTTACGAGGAAAGAAAAAGTATTATTTTAATACTCTTTTTTGAAAAATGAAAAAATTTTGAATGATTTTTACCTCCTGCAGTCAAAATTAAATGAAACAAGAATTGGAAAAATTGCTTGATAATAATTAGTGAAGAAAGAAAGAAAGAAAGAACCTCAAAGGGTTAAGAGAGTAAAATTCGAAGATCAAGTACCTATACCGGACACGTTGAAGTGCCAGGGTGCGTTTCTTTCCTGTGGACGTAACACTTTGTGTCACGTGTGTTGCCACGTGAGTTTCCATTTCACATCGGCTTGTCGTGGAAAAATCACAACCCGATGAAGGACATCTTTTCATCTCATTCGTTTCATTTTTAGACATTGAGGGATGAGATTGGGCGATGTGTTTTCTCAAGGCTGGTCTCGACGGTGCAACCACGTCACAAGTTCCACATGAATAGCCTCGATGAATACCATGATTTTGACTACTTCCGCTAGATCTGAAAGAAAGAAATTTTTTCCATTAGTAAGAATAATAATTTCAAGAAAATTAAAACGGAAATAATTTTTCGGCAAATTAAAAACTAATTGGAATCTATAAAACAAGTTTACATTCTGTATTTTTAATTTCCTTTTTGGGAAAAGAAAAATTCCAGAATATGCTTTTACAATTCTCTTATAATTCTTCAAACGAAGAATTTTTGCAATTTTCAATTTTCTGGTAAAATTGTTCGCTAAATAATTTATGAATTATTATTTTAATAACTTAGTCAAGTTATTTAAAATAAATTCAATTACATATTCTGTAAAATTGAATTATTGTCAGAGTAAATTTAAAGACGTGTCAAAGTCGATTCAATTTTTCCATCAAAACTCTATCGACTCTGACATCCCCTTAAGGATTTATATTCAAATTCGTGATGATTTTAAAGTTGATAAAAAAAAATTCAAGAAAAATTAGAATTTTTTTCATCAATTCTGAAAATTTAATACTTTTTCCGCAGTTACTTTCAATAAAATCTCCTGTCTTTTCTCTGAATTCCCTATTTTCCTTAAACTGATTAGTTTAGGGAATAAATTAGAATATGCTAGAATATGCTTTTACAATTCAAGAATTTTTGCTTTTTCAGTTTAAAAATTAAGCTCGAAAATAATATTTCAGTGAGAAATAAATTGAATTTGTCTCTACTTTTCGGTATATGACGAGTGATCACTGTCTGAATCACTATCGGACGGGATGCTGGGTATTTCACTGGCTTCAAGAGCAGCGGTCGCAGCAGAAAGTCTTCCCAACATTGCAGTGTATGCACCTAGGACCCAGCCATTTAATACAGGTGTTACAGTTTCATCCTGAAAGAATAGAAATTCTCATTAAATTATGAAAAATTGATATAAAATATTAAATTAAAATTATTAAATAAATAAATAAATATTAAATTAATCTAAAAGAATTAAATTAAATTTCTCTTTTAGAAAAAAAATCATTGCAATATTAATCGAAAAGAATTAAATTAAATTTCTTTTTTTTTCAAGAAATAAAACCTTGTCAAGCAGTAAACAGGACAAAGGATCCGGAGATTTCGAGATCAAATTATTATTAGCCGATTGGTGTGAACTTGTTGTACTTCGATCATCACTATCATCCCCCGCATCTTCGTTGTCATTATTCGCTGTCGTAACTTCCGCCTAAATAAAATATTTCCAATTAGCATAAATATTATAAAACTTAAAAAATACTCTGAACATTAAAAAAATTTCTTGTCTTATATAACTAAAAATTATCTTTTTTTTACTGAAATTTTCATTCTAATAAAATAGGACAAATATGAAAGATAATACAAATGGAACGAGTGTCGTGCTTCATTTTCATTCTCATCGTCGTCACGTTCGATGTTACTTTCGTTGTCTTCTGATTTCCGTGATGCTTGATCTGGCGAGATTTTATCCGATTCATCCGAGTCCTCAGACGGTCTTGAAACCAATTCCATAGCTCCAAAATGCGGAGCGTTTGCAGTCAACGGAAGTGGTATCATTTCGGAGGATCGTTGAAGTGCACTCAAAGCAAAAGCTGCCCTCGGTAACATTTGCGTTGCTCCCGGCGGAAGGATTGGATGTCTTCCGGCGAGCCGCGGATCGCCCCAAAGTCCGCCCGCGGCATGCAGACCCCAGATCCCATATTCCATCTGAAAATAAAAGAAAAGAGTCAGAACCAGTGTAGAGATAGTGAAAAAAAATATCAAAAACCCCTCTAAATCAATATCACAATTTTTCGCTTTCTCTCGTATTTAAAAATTCTAAAAAGAAATCTAAAACTCTAAAAGAAAAGAGAAAAAAAAAAAATTAAAAAAGAGAAGTAAAAAATTAGAAAAAAATTTTAATCGAAAATCAGAACTAGAGTTAAAAAAAAATTAAAATAAATTAGAAATAAATTTAAATCGAAAATCAAAACTAGAGTTAAAAAAAAATTAAAATTATTAAAATTAAAGTGACACAATTTCGAGTGTGTTTGCGGAGGAAAAAAAATTAATGGCACGTTGACAAGTGTAATAATATACTAATTATGAAAATATGAAACAGTAATTTAAATGCAGAGGATGAAATCCAATATAGATTAAATTTGGAAAGGAAAGCCACTCTCGCATTCGATTTCACAACCCTCTCATCTTTCACTCTCATTAGTATTTGATTATCTTGTTACCATCAAGAGCAATCAATATATTACAACTGTATTTTCGATTTGACTATCGGTACAAAAATATTTAATTAATTCAGCTGACACGAATTTATGAACTATAAAAATAAACTTCTGTCATTTTCACCTTTTATGAAAACACATCACGTCAGAAATGTTAATTTTGCAATATTTATCCATTATACCATTTATGCAATCGTTCTCTCAATAATTAATCATTTTCACCACTGCATTTTATCAATTATGTCATTAATTAATAAATATCTCCAATTGGTGATCGAGAAAAAAAATTAAATACCATTTTTACTCTCAAACTAAATAACTACCATAATAAAGAAATAAATATTCATAAATTACAATTTAAAAACAAAAACAAAATCCTATAATTTATACTTTACTATTTTAATTTTAATGATTATAAAAATTTTTTCCCATATTTTTCCAATTTTTTCAAAAACATTTTTTTATATTCTTCATTTTGTATATTTGCAGGATTTACAGAATAATACATATATATAAAATTTCCCATTGTCCTGTTTCGAACTAAATGAAATATTTATCTCATCATCGAATTGCAGAGTATCTCGAGAGATAAAACATCAAAACCATTTGCCCAAAGGCTTTGTAGATATTATATATCATTTCTATTTATAAATTAAAATATATAATTCAATAATTGTTTTAAAAAAATTATTCGAAAAAATCCAAATAATAATTTTTAACTTTCTTTCGACGATAAGTTTCAAGTTTCGTTAAAAAGCAAAATTTACTTTTCCGAAAAAATTAATTTTATCAAAATCTTATATTAAAAGATTTTCTATTAAAATTTCTTTCGTTTTTATTTTATTAATAAAAGTTGAATAAAAGATTAATTAATATTTCAATTTAAGAGAATTTGAAAATATAAAAGTATAATCGAAATTTTTAAATAATCTTTTATTAAAATATAGATTATGAATACTAAATGAACAATTTTTCCATATTAATAAATAAAGTGATATGGATATTTAAAAATATCGAGATATCATAATTAATTTAGTGTTCTGTATCGATTAATGAATTACTTCTTATAAAAATATCCGTTTCATAGGAAAAAGAGAGATGGTACTGATTTATTTTTGAAAGAAAATTTATCGATTTTCAATATCTTCATGTTCGAAAATTTAATGACATAATTCACACCGAAAATATATATATATATATGAATGCAGAGTGAAATTCTGCACACAACTATTTCTAGAATCCTATAGACATTTATTATTCCTCAATTCTTCGATTTATTTAAACTCGCCAATTTTCCGTATATTATTTCAATCTTTTGATTCGAGATTTTTTTCGAATTTTCTGTTTTTAACAATTTTTTTTTAGTTATTTAATTTATTTTTGTTATTCAGATAAATTTTTGTCTCTTTTTGTATTTCTCTTTATTATTCCTAATAATTGTTCTAAAATATGAAAATTTTAAAACTCAAGTTATTTTTTTAACCAAATATAGAATTCCTGATTCGAAGAAAGTTTTTTTCATTCGCTGCGTTTTTGAATTTTCCATCCATTCTCTATTTAATTAATAGTCATAATAAAAAATTAAGAATATCTTTTAATTAGCAAATTTAAATCTCATGCTCTCATATACAAATGAAAAACGATTTCTTTGTTTTCTTTCTCAAAAAAGACAATTTAATTAAAATTTAAAACTTTTGAAATAATTTATCGCAAAAAATCAGACAATTTTTATTTTTAATCAAAACGCGAAAAAAAAATTGTAAATTCTGAAAAATTCACCCAAAAAGAACTAATTTTTGCTCGGGAAATAAAAATAATGAATTGCTTAAAATAATAGTGTTTAAAAATTATGGAAAAAAAATATCAATAGTAATTTCATTTAATTCATTTAAAACCATGAAAAAAAAATTTTAATTTGGAAAATTTACAAGAAAAAAAATGTTTTTCTCGAAAAAAAATAATTAATTGTAATAAGAATATTGTAATAAAAAATAGGTATTTAAAAATTGTGGAATTAAAAATTTATTCCAAACAAAATTTAATTTAATTCGATGAAAAACTACGCAAGTGTACAAACAAATTTGGAAAAGTAACCATAAAACTATTTTTCCTCGAAAAAAAAATTATGAAACTAAAAATTTAAAGCAATAAAAAGTATTTAAAAATTATGGAATTAAAAATTCATGTCAATGACTATAATATTTTATTTAATTCGTTAAAAAATCATGCAAATGGAAAAAATTTACAAATTTGAAAAATTTACTATAAAAATATTTTTTCGCGAAAACAAAATTATGGAATTTAAAATTTTAAGCAATACAAAATATTTCAAAATTATGAAATTAAAAATTTAAAGCAACAAAGAGTATTTAAAAATTATAAAATTGAAAATTCAAGTCAATGACAATTATAATTTTACTTAAATCGTTAAAATAAACCATGCAAATGGAAAAAATTAACAAATTTTGGAAATTTTTCTATAAAACACTATTTTTTCTCGAAAAAGAAATAATAAAGTATTTAATTGTAAAAAAAGTGTTTAAAAAACATGAAATTAAAAATTATTGTCTTGGACAATAATTTCATTTAGATAATTCGTTGAAAAACATGAAAATAAAAAGATTTTTCTTATAAAAGCCAATTTTTTTCAAAAAAAGTATTTAATAGCAATAAAAAGTATTGAATTGTAATAAATGTATTTAATTGTAATAAAAAGTATTTAATTGTAATAAATGTATTTAATTGTAATAAAAAATATTTAACTGCAATAAAAAGTATTTAATTGTAATAAATGTATTTAATTGTAATAAAAAATATTTAATTATAATAAAAAGTATTTAAAAATTACAGAATTACAAATTTCTGTCACAGACAATAATTTCATTTTAATTCGTTGAAAACCATGCAAATAAAAAAAATTTCCCATAAAACACAATTTTTTCTCGACAAAAAAAATTAAGTACATAAAAATTATGGAATTAAAAATTTTAAGTAACGAAGTTTCAAAAAATTACGGGATGAAAAATTCAAAGAAATAAAGTATTTAGAAATTACGCAATTAAAAATTCAAAGAAATAAAGTATTCAAAAATAACAGAATTAAAAATTTTCAGAAACAAAGTATTTAAAAATTATGTAATAAAAAATTTAAAGAAATGAAGCATTTAAAAATAATGTAATAAAAAATTTAAAGAAATGAAGCATTTAATAATAATGAAATTAAAAAATGATAAGTAATAAAGTATTGAAAAATTACAGAATAAAAAATTCATGTCACAGACAAATAGATAAAAATAATGTAAATTAAAATTCATCTCACAAGTAATAATAAATTTCCCTTTCCCTCCCCGCTCCCCCCCTAATCAAAATCCAATAATATTAATTAAACCGACCATCGTATCCTAATCGATCCACTCAATCAAAAAAATCCTCTCGAATTTAGCAGAACAAAAAAAAAAGTAATCGTATTTTCACCGTTAAATTGGAGAAAAATTAGTTCAGGCATATCGCGACATTCCTGACTATTTCAGACTGGACATATCCAGTATACTTCTAGCCTCCAGCATACTTTGGCATACATAAAATCTCCCACATACATATTCTCCCGCTACATCGAGAGGAGTCACCCCTCAAAGCCCCCATTATCCCACCCCCTGAGCCTCCACCCGGTTGCACAACGAGCTGACCCCTTCCCACTGCCCTCGCGAATCGATTTGTTATTGTTTTTGTGTCTGCGGTCTCAGAGGCGGGAAAGGTGGGAGAATAACTTTGGCGGCTGGAAGAGTGAGAGAGGAAACAGTGTAGGCAATCAGGGGATCAACTCGAGCTTTTTGAGTAGGGGCTAATTCAAGGGTTTTTCTTTTTTCGTTGGGGTACCAATAATTCATTCTTTTCTTTTTGAGTCGAAATTTTCCCTACAATTCTAAAAATTGACAAAAATAATTGCAATTCAGAAAGTGGAGAAAATAAATCAACGAAATAATTTTTCGGGGCTGAATATCAACTAACGAGATAATAGAGAGAGATGAATGAATTTCAATTAGAATTTAGAATTTTTCGTTTTTCGGAGTTTGAAAAAGAAGAAGGGATCAAGGGACAGTTGAATTCGAGGGGAAGGGCATCAGAGGCTGAATCTGGGCGCGAGGAGCTATTTGGTGGTTGGTAGGGGATGGTTCGGGGGGTGGAGAGGGAGAATGATCCGGAAGGTGTAAGCGCCGAACGGATATGTATAGAGTTGGGGTTGTTCAATGTTGGCGGACGAGGGGGGGTATTTTGAGAGAGGGTTGGAATCAGTTTGGCGGGGAAGTAAGGCGAGGGATCCGTCCGCTTGACAGGTGACAACCGATTGGACCACTGACGTCACAGATCACTTGCTCGACCACCCTCGTGATAGCACGTTACACGCACCATTCCTAGACGCACTTTACGCACGTGTCACACACACACAAAGATTAAAAAAAAGACAGAAAAATAGAAACAGAGTAAGAAATTTCACAGGCACACGTGAATTTTTCCTTATAAAATCAGAAAGGGGGGAAAAATTATTTTTTTTATCCCACGAAAAAAAAGAAAGAAAAATGCAAGTATTTACGTGCCGACCGGCCGATAGCCTCGCGACGCCTCTATCTGGTTACCATTACACTCGGGATGTATGAAATGCGCCAACATACACACCATCCCCCCACAATAGCCCTATTTATGATTGGGCAAAATTGCTTTCCATGCGCAGAATAAAATCCGGCTGTCCGCCAGGAAAAATCAGTTCCTTCAAAATTATATGCTCTCGACATTATTTTTCCCCTTCTGAATTTCCTCCTTCTATTATTCTTCATATGCTTCTGTCAAGATTAGAACAATTTTCTTCTAATTCTCTTGTTATTAACTTGTATTACACATTTATTTTCAATGTATTTCAATGACGATTATTTTCATTATTTTTCTCGTTGAAGAAAATTTGTTGGAAAAATTAAATATGGCGTGGCCGCGGACCTGCGCGCCCCACCAGAAATCTTCGACGCTATCGCGTCGCGAATACAGCATCCCTCGCGCGGCGCTGATGCCGTTTGTGTGTTATATAGAGAAGAATCAGCTCAATATGGCGATTACAGTTATATTTATTCCTTTTCTCCTAATTTTTTTTTTTTTTTTATGTTCTTTTTTTGCTCCTTTTTTTAATCACCAACTCTTCCTCTCGAACTGTAGAGCCAATTGAATAACTTTAGAAACCTTTGAAATAATTGTTCCGCACAATGATAATGAAATTTGATACGATTGCTGAAAAATTAATTAAAAATATTTGAAAAAATGTAGAAATTTTTTTTTTTAATTGAAATAATTTCTTTTAACGGATAAAATTAAATTTATTTCAATTTACAACAATAATAAAATAAGAATATTCAATACAATTAACTGATTAAGTAAAATATACAAAATCTAGTTAAATTGTACTAATTTAGAAAAAATATATTACCTTCTTTTCACAAAATGTTAATTTAAAAATCTCTTCTCCAATTTCGACTTACGTTGGTTTTACTGTAATTACTAAATGACAAAATAATAATAGAAATAATAATAACAATAATAATTATAATAATAAATAATAATAATAATAATTCTATTCTATAGAAATAGAATGTACTAATCTGATTTTTCATTTTACATACCTACTTGGAAATTTAAAATTAATGAATTGAAAATAATTAAACTCTTGCGAAAAATTTTATTACAGTTTTTAAAAATAATTCAATTTTTTAGAAGAATTTTATTAAGATTTTATTGAAAAAAAAACTATTGAATTCTCGCGAAGAATTAAAATTTTTATGAAGAAATTTATTTATAAAAATAATTGAACTCTTAAGAATTTTATTAAAATTTTCAAAAATAATTCAATTGTCATGAAGAATTTTTTAAAAACAATTCAATTGTTATGAAGAATTTTTTTGAATTTTTTTCAAATAATTTTCATGGGAAAATTGGAAAGTATTTGATTTTTATGAAGAGTTTCTTTCAATTTTTTTCAAAATAATCGAGTTTGTTAATAATTGTAATTAAAAATTTGATTATTGAATTTTATTAAAACTTAAAAAAAATAATTGAATTCATTGAAGGAATTTTATTAAAATATTGAAAATAATTGAATTCTTTCGAAGAATATCGACTATTAAAGTTTTTGACACAAATTGAATTCGAACAAATAATTTTCGACGAATTTCTTTTATTTGTTTAATATAAAATCAATTTTGATAATAATTGTAATTAATAAATTTAATATTAAGTTATATTAAAATTATTTATAGAAAATTAAATTCTTTTGAAGAGTTTCTTTAAATTTTTTGAAAATAATGTTTTTTTTTAAATAATTTTAATTGACAATTTTGAAAACAATGAAATTTTACGAAGAATTTCTTTCAATTTTTCAAAACAATCGTGTTTGTTAATAATATTAATTAAAAATTTGATTATTCGATTTTATTACAGTTTTTTTGGAAATAACAGAATTCTTTTGAAAAATTCTAAAAAAATTGTACTTTTGAGAATAATTAAAATAATTCCTTCGAAAAATGTTATTACAATTAAAAAAAAAATGAATCCTTTCGAGAAATTGGATTGAATTCTTGTGATGAATTTTACTTTATTATTAAAATAAAATAATTTGATTCTTGCGAAGAATTTTCTTTAAATTTTAAAAATAGGTATTTAAATTGCTTCGAAGAATTTTAGTATTTATTTGTAAAAATAATTGAATTCTTGCGAAGAGTTTTATTAAAATTTCTGAAAATAATAAAAATTGTAAATTGACTAATAATAATAATCAATCGTACTAATGATAAATATTAATATTAATAATACTTAATAGTAATAATAATAATAAAAATTCTATATTATTCTATGGAAATAGAAAAATAGAATTAAAAAATAACAGAAATAATAATTGATGATGACAAATAAGAATAATTAATAAATAAGAATATAAGAAGAGAGAGTAAAATAATTTGATAGAACAGAAATAATGAAAAGTAAAAAAGAACTAAAATTCTGAAAAAATTGAAAAACAAAAATACCGTCAGGTAATAAAAGAGCCAAGTAAATTATTAAAATTGTATTAATTCTTGGCAATGAAATATACAAAGTTTCAAAAATGTATATCTACAAACAAGCGTCATTTATATTTAATTATTATAATTATCACAAAATAGAATTATTTTAATTTCTTACCGGAAGGCGACTTTTAATAAATATATAACTTTAGATTTGCATTAGTTTAACTGAAAACTTTTTAAGGTATACTCTCAGCAAACGACAACGATGATGATTTCATCACGGAAATTTGTAGATTATTAATCGATAAATGTAAATTCTTTTGAAGACTCTCAATTTTCCTCTGCACTTCAATCGACTCCTCTAATTCGGTTTTGACTTTTTCAAGATTTTCACCTTTTCCCTTCACTAAATCACTCACTTCTTTCATTGTTTTATAACACTGATTAAGAGTATCTTCAAATTTATGCTGCTCAGCATTTGTCGTGGGCAGATCAATTCCTTGACATCGTAGAAAATCAAATGGACTCAGTTGAATTCGTAAATTTTCCAGATCATCCATAATGGGAGAATCTTGTAAAACATCTGTGAAAAAAATATCAATAATTAATAATAATGTTTGTTGAAATTTTTTGGTAAAAATTACAAATTCCTCACCAAATTCTGATCTTATTTGTGTAACAAGTGTGTCGAGATAATTTTGTAAAGCAGACAAATAATGAATGTCTTTCTCTCTCGATTTCATTTTCATTAATTTTTCATTGCCCAAGTCTTGCTCTTTACTTAACGATGCTAACTGATTTAAAATCTTCTTCTCATTTTCGATTCCTTTCTTCTTTAGTAGAACATCAGCCATTAATGTTCTCAAATATTCATCATAAAGTAATCCAGTTTCTGTATCTGTATTATCAGTCTCGGCTTTTTTCAAACCAAACGAGTTCACTAGACTTGTTGCTGCTAGAGATTGACGTGTACTTCCAATTTTTTTCTTAATTGCAGAAGCTAGAAAATTGAAAAAATTCCAAAATAATCGGGATTTTATAATAATGATTTACCTTGTTAAATGTAAACAAAAGTAAAATAAAAATTGTTCGCATGATGTGGCATTTTTAAAATTCACCTGTAGTAACATTGAGAGAAAGATCGTGTAAACTTGTCGTAGATTTGTGACGAGTTGTAAAACGAGCACTTGTCAAGGAATTGAAATTCACCTTCTTGTCACTGTCAGGAGTTGAACCAATCCTAAAAGAAAGAAAAAAAACCAAACGTTAGAAAAATATTTCTCTTTAAAAAATTCTAATTTCTAATTTTTAAAATCTAGAATTAAACTTGTCGAGACAAGTACGTTGCAAAATTCTATAGTTATTAACTAGTAAAGATAAGTAATTTCCTGTATTAATTTATTCTATATTTATTTATTATTCTATCTGTTAATTTCCTTGAGAATATCTTACCTTTTGATTTTGAATTTATTTTTCGGTGTTGTTGACGAATTTTTTTCCATTTTTAAAGTTCTTTCTTCAAACTTATTGCTATTGTTCAAAAATCACATAAATCAAGGCAGTGGATATTTTTCCACTAGATAACACATTTCGAATCAAAATTACCACATTTTCTTTACATTTTTAAATAAAAAAAATCATTTTACTTTTCTGCCAAAAAAATATAAATAAACACTTTGAGGTTATGTCACAAAATTACAGCGATAAATTATTACGATTATCACACTAAAAGTAGAACAGAAAATGTTAATTTCAATGTTTTGATGCAAAGCAATATCTCTGTCACAAAATTCTCGAAGATAATAATAATTAAACTAATTTTTTAACTCAAAAAAAGAACAAATTACACAAAACTCAAGAAACGGTTTCTGTCAAAATCAAAACAGCATTCTCTTTGTTAAAAACGGTAACTGTCGTTACGACTTTACTGATACTACGTACAGTTACCGTTTATTGCGTAGCGTGATAACTAATCGTAAATTTTGAGGTTATATTTATAAAGTTTGACATAACCCCATACAAAAGTCGAAAGCAAGTTGATTAATAAAAAGATAAAAACACCTGTATTTGAGTAATATTTAGATAACTGGCAGTTAATTGTGATGACAAACGATATGTGATAAGATTATAAATACTATTACTTTTCTGTGTCAATTAGATAGTTTAGTCCCAGTAAATTTGAAAAAAACAATGAGCGAGGTAAGAAAATTTGCGTATTTGTGCCTAAATAAAAATATTATCCGGTTTTGTTTGTATGATATTCATTAACAATTGTTATATAAACAAAATTATGATGAATAAATTAATTTACCTGCTAAAAGGCAGGTATTGATTATTATTTGCTTTTTTAATTCTAAATTCTCTATTTTGACAGTCATCGACTAAATTATTCATATAATAATATTTTATTCATAAATACTGCGTTTGAATATAAATTATTAATTAACAATACCGTTTTATTGCAGACGAAAAAAAGAGAACTTCCATCTACCATGAGGAAGGCTTTAGCAGTAGATGCATACATTACAGATAATTTTGTAAAAGCTGCGGAAAAATTTTTGGCTTTTCGTTCTTTAAAAACGCATTATCGAGCACTAGAGGTAATAAACAATGTTAATTATTTATCACTGTCTATGCTATAAGGAAAAATTAATTAATCAAAACTGTTTTCAGATATCATGTCATGGAATTGTTTGGATCGCGACTTGGCTCGCTTTTATATGGATAATAAATAGTAAACATCTGTATCAGATGCAAGTTAATTTTCTGATAGGTAAGAAATCAATTTTTTTTCACAAAAAACAATCGAGAATTTTTAAACTTTGGTTTTTAGTTTTTAAAAAAAATTTCCAGTATCCAGACTTCGGATATTGTGACTTTTTCGATTTTTTTTCAATTATTTTTTAAAAAATTTGACTAATTTCGACTTATTTTCAAAACTTGCAACTTTTTAGACTTTTCTTCCAAATATTCCAACAAAAATACCACATTTATTCAAGTTTTGAATAATTGCACTTAAAAATCAGGGAAATACAATTAAATTTTTTGTGAAAAAATTAAATTACTATATAACTTTTCGAAATGGAACGAAATTTTCGTAAAAATTAATTTTGAAATATTTTTTTACAGGTTTATTTACCGATATTTTAATTATTGCTATTATAAAGGCACTAGTTCGACGAAGAAGACCAACGCCGAATACTGATATTTTTGGAATAGGTCCTGATAAATTTTCCTTTCCATCAGGCCATGCTTCGCGAGCAAGTTTTATAGTTTACTTTTTCATCAATTTATGGCCAGTGAATTATATTTTCATCCCTCCTTTATTAGCATGGTCGTTTAGTATTTGTCTCTCGAGGGTTTTAATGAGAAGACACTACTTACTCGACGTAGTCGCCGGAATTTTGTTCGGTATCATAAATGGAATTTTAATCGGTACCATGTATCTAACACAAGAAACAAGTACAGATCTTATTTCGTGGATCAGCGACGAAAAATTAGATGGTGGCGAATATCACGTGTGAAAATTTACTTTTTCAATTAAGTAACAATATTTTTTTTCAAAAAGAAAATTCTTTAAAAATACAATTTGAAAAACATAAAAAATATGAAAAATATAAAAAATATGAAAAATATACAAAAATTACAATTTTATAAACTAAAAATTATATTTTCGGAAAAGTGAGAAAATAACGGGATTTAATTGCCTTAAAAAATTGTTACACAGCTTTACATAAACTTTAAAACCAAAAAGGGAAAAAATAAAAATTTATTTTCTAAGCTATGTTAATTTACTCTTTTCCCTTTGATTTCTAGAAACGAAAACTTTGCGACCAATGAAAATGAATTGAAGACAAAAAAGTCTGAGTTACTGAAAAGAAATTTATTTTAATTATTGAAACGAAGAATTTGTATACATAGAATATATAATTTTTCACGTAATGAGACTTATTTGAATAACATAATTTTAAAAAATACTAAATTCAAATGAAACAGTTAAATATTAATTTGATTATAACAATAAAAAATAAATTATAATTTATAAATATAGGAACTTTAAATTCTTCAAAAGTTTCACTATCCAATCTGGAGAATTGAATAAATTCCATTTTGACAACAAATAAAAAAAGTTAATTTAATTATAAGAAATCAAAAAATTAATTACAACAACAAATAAAAAAATTATTTCAATTGCATAAAAAAAATTAATTTCATTGCTAACAAAATTAATTTCATTGCAAACAAAATTAATTTCATTGCAAACAAACATTAATTTCATTCCAACAAGAAATAAAAAAATTTAATTATAACAAGAAATAAATATTTAATATTTACAACTATAAAGAAAAATTTATATAGTCAAAGAAATAAAATTTGATATTTCGGACTGTAAAATTAGCAATTTTTTTTTGAGATTATTTTTAAGTGTGCTATTGTGTCTACGTTAAGTATTTTCGCGTAATAACGTTTAATTATTTTGTTTGCCATTCTATTTTATCGTTAATTTCCTAAAGTTATATTGCACATGAAAAAGAAAAGCTAAAAGTACGTGAAATTAAGTCTGTATTTATTACACTAATATATCGATACTTTTTGTGCTGCTTTCACTATTTTTCGTGCAATAATTAAAAATCTATTTCAAAATAAAAAACGAAAATACAAAAATTTAAAGTGTAAATGTTAAGAAAAATCGAAGTTTAATTACGGTACACATTGGCTGACTTTACGAATATTCTCATAAAGGACGCAATATTTTTACATACCAAAAATGAAAAAAGTTCCCCCAAAAGGCAGTTTTGAAAATTTCTTATCGAAATATTTACCGAACAAACAAAAAAAACCACTATTTCTATTGTGCAAAAACTCAGAATTGACGCGGACGATTTTTTATCATCAAAAAATTTTTTTAGTTTTTCAATTTTTTTCCCTTTGAATAAAAAAAAAATTACCACAGAGGCGAATGGTAAAATTTGAGATCGAGATGACCAGCTTGTGTGGTACCGGCAACTTCCTGTCCGCAGGAAGGCGATGATTTTACGCTATTCTCCCTCGTTTTCTCAACAATTTCCGGCTCTGCATTTTCCTGCACTGGCTCCTCTTCCGGCTCAGGAATTAGCGGCACTTCTGGTACTTCTGGCTCATCCGGAATTGCTGGAGTTTGTGGCACTGAAGGAAGTGGTTCATCATCAGGCAATGCCGGTGTTGGTGCTGTTGATAATTCATGGTTTCGATTTTTTTGCTCCTCCTCAGAATACAAACTCAGTGAACGTGGTCGCTCGAGTTTTGAATTATTTGGTGTCTGTAAACCTCGTCGAATATCCGATATTTCACTATAAAAATTTCAAAACACACACGAAAGAAAATTTATCGATTCTTTGGGGGAGGGGGGGGGGGGGGGTACAAACGCACAATAAAAAAAGCGATGCCAAAAATTGTGCATTGAAACGAGGAGTAAAATAAAAATGAAACAAGCAATAACAACGTGAAACAAATTTAATTATCAAAATATAATTTTTACGAAAACATAAAGTACAATGGTAAATAAATAAGTAAATGTAATTTAATAAATAATCTTTCTATCTTTATAGTGTCTTTCTTAGGTAGAGAAAAAAAACACCGAAAACAATAATAAACTTCACGTTTATTTATTACCTCTCCTTTTGAATTATAAATTTAAAATATAAATAATATAAATTCAATAAATATCGGAAAAATTAATAACAAACAAAATCGAAAAAAAAACTGGAAGACATTATTTAATTTATCCTTTGAAAGACACATGAGTATTTTTATAAATAAAAAATTTATTTTATTTATAAATAAATAAATAAAATAATTTCTAAATAAAATACTCGAAAAAAATATCTATTTACAATGATCGAAAAATAAATTTTTATGTCGAAAAAAAAAAATTTGTAACTCTACGAAAGTGACAAAGTGTTTTTTCTTCTTCTATTGCGCTATTTGATGACTAACGAATTCTTCTAGACGAATAAATACTTTCACCAAAAAATTTAATTGCGAGCTATTAAGTGCATTTACGAATCACTGGCGAAAGTCGGTTTTCCCATCCAGTAATGATTCTTCCACTGACTAACAAAACGTAAAAACATTTAACTGAAATAAAAATGGCAAAAAATATAAATGATTTAACAGAGTGAACTTGAAGAATTTCCATTTTATTATTTTTCTTAAATAGGTGCTAAAAAAACCATTCTTTAATTATCTAAAAAACAATTCTTTAATTATCTAAAAAAAAATTATTTCATTATTTTTTTAACAATTAAAAAATCAAAAAACAATTTAATTTTTTAAACAATCAAAAACTAATTAATTGTTTTTAGTAATTAAAAAATTATGATAGCAATTCTTTAATTAAAGAACAAATTCTTTAATTACATAGAAAAGAATTCTTCAATATTAATCCAGTTTCGAAAATATTTTTTTTAAATAGAAAATTCTTCAATAATTGCATAGAAAAAATTGTCAACATATTAAGTGAGAAATAAATGGACAACAATGACAAATAAACATTAACGTGCCTTTTAAAAGTGCACAGTTATCGGCTAAATTTTTTAATTGAAAAAAGCTTTTTGTTGAAAAATTTTTATTGGTCTTTTCCAATCTTCTTTAATTATTTTTTTCTTTTTTCTCTAGATTTCGGTCTCATTTTAGTCGACAACTATGAACGAAGCTGTTAAACTCACCTTGCTCGCTCGGCAGATTGGCCAAGCACTGCAGTGTTATGAATTATCTAGAAAAAGCGTTAATCTATTATTTAATTATTCAGTTATTACACCACTTGCCCCAGTTTTAATTTCATTGTTAGTATTATATGGCAATTAGATATTGAAAAATGAGTTTTACGACTCATAAATTATTAATCAATAACTTAGTAAGAAATTTAACTAATTTTAATTAATGAGAATTAAAATTAATTTTTGGAAAATTTTCAAACAGAAAAAATTAATATTTAAACAGACAAAAATTTCGTTTGATTTTAACGTTCAAAAATTTTAGGTAAATCAATTTTAATTGATCTTAATTCTTAAGTAATTAAAATTAATAAATTTTCTATATTTTTTATTATTTATAATTTTTGTGCATGATAAATTTGTAAATAAAGAAAGAATTATAATTATATGAATTATAATTATAATTATAGGAATTATAATTATAATTATAGGAATTATAAAATTATAATTATTATACAGAGGAAAAAAATGTTTATAATGAAAGAAACATGACAATTAGTAAATTTGTGAAACTATTAATCATATACGAAAATTTCCTGCTTGTGCATGAAATATTTTGAGGAATAATTAAATTCTTACAGTCGCCATGGAACAAGGTGGACGGGCGGCAGCGTATCTTCCAAAAGCGCTTCGAGGTAAAACACTCGCCGATTGTGAACTTCCATTCAGGCTAAAAGAAAATTGTTTTTTTTTTTAAATTAAAAATTAAAAAACGGTAATTTTTTCAAATATTATGAAACTTTACCTCCTTCCATTTTCACTGCTGCTACTGTAGCAGGAAGACCTGTCAGAATACTTGGCCGACTGACTGTATCTGTTGCCCTTGGTTTCCTGCTCCTCTGAAACAGGAAATATGAAATTAAAATTGAGGAAAAGGGAAATTTTTAATAATATAGGAATTAAATAATAATAAAGAGAAAAAACGGGAATAAAAGAAAAAAAATGGAAAAAAAAGAAAATGAAAAAAAATAGAAAAAGGAAAAAAGAAATAGGAAAAAAAGAAATAGGAAAAAAGAAAAAGGACAAAAGAGAAAAAGAGACAAGTAGGAAAAAGAAGAAAACAATTCGAAAAATAAATAAACGGAAGATGCAATTTTTCATGGACAATAAGTGAAGTTTCATGAACTTATAAATCAACTATAGCATTTGTGTAGCATTGACCGCGATTTTAAACTCACCCTGGAATTACCAATTTAGGACGAGAACCGTCAGCAAAACTGATTATAAAGTACAACTTACAAAGTAAGATTGATCGTCCTTCGATGAATCTTGGCATGTCTTACATGAATCAAGTATGTTTAATTAGCAATACTAATTACTCTTGGAGCACTTTCGGTTATAATCGTCTCAATTTTCTGCAATAAACTAATGTACATAGTACTCAAAGTAGATAATTCGTAATTTATAAAAATTTTCTCAAAAACCCTATGAATTATTTTAAATTACAAAATTCATAATTACAGACGAAAAAATATTCCAATTCGTAAATAATAAATTCCAAATAATAATAATAATTAATTCCAATTAACAAATAATAAACTCCAAATAAAAAATAAAATTCCAATAAAAAAATAATAAATCAAATTCCAATTAATTAAATTATTCAATTAATACCTAATAATTAATAATAATAATAAATTCCAATGAAAATAAATTCAAATAGTTAGAAAATTTCAATTTAATTCTAAATAATGTACAAAATTAGAAAAATTGTGATATGTTATGCATATAAAAAATATATAACATGACTTTTTAAATTAGAAAATTTTCAATTGTTACAGAAACTTTCCTTCACAGTTTAATAATTAGGTTATCAGCCTTTTCAATCGGATATAGTCTTCTAAAGTATCGATTCGTGAGAGGTTTGATTAGTTTCAAGTATATATCAGAATTCTGATTAAACTTCCCAGATATGAACTTTATTAGAAGTGAGATATGCTGAAAAAATTATGACTCATCTATAGTTTCGCGTGATATTTAACAAAAAAAAGCATTCATTCTTTGTTTTCCATAAGATCACGAAACGACTTTTAAAAGCTCAATAAAACTTCCTTTAAAGATTAGAAAGAAAAATATAACCATGATAAACAAAGGTGTATTCGTGAAAAAAATAAATGGAGAAGACAAGTGTAAAGAATAAAAAGTGTACAAAAGTAATAAAATAAATAAAAGTTTGTGAATAGAAAATATAAAATGTAAGAATATGAAATATAATCGATAAAAATATTTATATTATTTATATTAAATATAAATAATTCGTATTTTATTTTTTATTTTCCATTTTTATTTCTTTTTTATTTTCTATTTTTTTATTTTCTATTTTTATTTTTAAATAAATAAATAAATATTTATATTGAGGCTTCTTTGCATTAAATATAAAAGGTAAGAATATAAAATATAAAAAGTAAAAATATTTATATTTTTACCTTTTTTATTAAATATAAAAGGTAAAAAAAACAGTGTGAAAATAAAAAAAAATCGAAAAGAAACCCAAAAAGCGTACCATCGTCGAAAAATCCCTCGAAGACGACAAATTTATTGTTCTGCGATATTATGTCCGATAATCCGTAATACTTGTTCATAAAAGACAGGAACTTCTCAGAGGGTCGATCGATTGCAAGTTTAACTGGTCGTAGATTTTCCTCCTATAACAATAAAAGATAAAAATTAGTACATATAGAGAAAAAAATTACCATTTCATATTTTTTGCCTCAAGAAATATTAAGTGGAGACTGGAGATTAAAATCAAAAAAGAAATGTAAAATATATAATAAAAAAAAGCAACTGTTAATTATTCATTAGATGGAGAACAATAAAATTTATTATTTTCTGTCTTTTAGAAGTAAATTATTGCCTAAAATACGAGAGAGAGATTAATGACCTTAAATGTTACGATATCAAGATTAAAAAGGGTAGATAAGGAGCAAATTGCCAAATCGAAACTAAACGCAAACGAAACAACTTGTTCGAGTTCAGTTACCTTACCTACCCACTTCACTCATGCATAATGAACTTTTGTAATACTGCTACCAAGATCCATTGTTGATGAAACTTTCGACGTTTATAGAAAGTGGAACTGATTCTCAAGAAAATTCAATTTTTTTTCATTAAAAATAAATTTTTCTTTCAATTTTTCTCATTAAAAATAAATTTTTTTATCCAATTTTGTTTCTTTTGATTTTTTGCAATTCTTTTCAATTTTTATTATTTTACTAAATAATTTTCATTATCACAATGATTTAATTAATCAACGCTCATTAAATTAGGCGTGTCAAAAAATTTTGTCAGACCGTAAATGAAATTGTCAGGAGACAAAAAATTTTTTTTCCGTTGAATTTAAATTTCCTGGTGAGAAACAAATTAAGGGACATTAATCTTGTTTAGGAGGACAACAACGGGATCTTTGGTTAACACGCGACATGCTCTTTTCTTGTACAATAAATTCCCCCTGGAAGAAAATTGTTCTAGCATAGATATTTTCACACGAATTAAGTGGAATCCACGCGAACGCTATTTGTTCATTAAATTCATGTCTAAATTTACGGAAACGTACATTAATATCTCTCGTTAGATAAATTACAATACAATAGAATTTTACAATTTATAGCATTTATCCTAGATAACAATAATAATTTCCCATCGATTCACTTTGGAAAAAATTTTCCTAAAATGACAAAAAAAAAAAAATTTCTGAAATGACAAAAAAAAGTATTTTTATGATTAATAATTGAAAAGTAGGGTTTTTGAAATCAATATTTTCTAAAGTCACCATATAAAAGTAAATAAATTTTTTCGAAATGAATATTTTCCCCAACTGAATATTATTTTGAAATAAACATTTTCCGAATAAATATTATTTCTAAAAATAAATATTTTCCGATTTAATATTTTTCAATAAATATTTTTCAATAAATATTTTCCAAAGAAATATTATTTCGAAATAAATATTTTCCAACGAAATATTATTTCGCAATAAATATTTTCCAATAAATATTTTCCAAATAAATATATTTCGAAATAAATAATTTCGAGATTAATATTTTCCGAATAAATATTTTTCTAGTGTTTAGTTGTTTCAAGGTATTTTTTAATTTATCGTTATAAATAAAAAATTTAAACACTAGAAAAATCAAATGCGGAGTAAATAAATAAACTTCCAAATACCCGAATAAAAAAATAATTTCCAGTTTCGAAAATCGAAAAATGTCACCCCAATTGAGAAAAATGAATAAAAAGTATGTTACTGCAAAAAAAAATAATAAATGACGTTCCTAATATATGAATATATAAAATGTGAATCGATAGGTAAATTATTAATGACAACTATATGGAAATTAAGAAAATAAAATATTCTAAAGGATGACAAATTCTATTTAACCTAGTGAAAGAAAGTTTATACGGTCAAAGCAAAATTTCTCCTTGCAAATTGAACCTTGGTCAATTGCATTACAAGTGTGTATACAATGACACAGTTTAAGCCATAATTTTTTTTTCTACTTATAGAATTCACGTGTTATATACAACGTTGTTCGACACATACGTGTTCAACAAAATACGAACGAGATCAATAATAATCTATATAAGAACTCACAGTGAGCATGTGCTGATATAAAAGATTTCCAAGTCCCATTCGTTGTCGGGATTCATGAATATAAAAATCCAATATACATCTTGGTTTCACTTGATAATGAATTCCAGTTTCATCAAACATAAAGAGATTCTTCGATCCAACTTTTAATAGTCCAATAACACTCCCCAAACCACTGTAAATTAAATAGAATAGAAACAAATAAAATTAATCACTCAATATTGATTATTCATGGAAATTTTATGTAAAGGTCAACAAAAGGACCCATTAACGTCTATTAAATCAATCCATTTATTCGGAGATTCATTTCAATTCACGGGGAAAATACAAAAATAGATCAAAGATAAATAAAATATGACATTTTTTCAAAATCAAAAATAAGAGAAAATAAAAATATAACAAATAAAAATAAATCAAAAATTAATAAAACAAAAATAAATAAAACAAAAATAGAAAATAAATAAAATCAAAATGTCAATAAAAAAATTAATTAAATTAAAACAACAATACAGGAAATTGAAACATTCTAATATCGGCTGAAATGCTGATAAAAATCTACTGAATTCAATCCAAAACGAATAAAAGAAAATTGAAATAAAAATGTATATTTTTATTCCAATTTTTTTTTCAAAAAATGGAATTTTTTTATAGAGAATAAAAAATTATAAATCCCATTAAATTAATTTGATAAAGATAAAGAATTTATTATTAAGTAAAAAAATACAAAATAATAAAACCATTGGATTACGATTGGAATTAAATTACGTTAAGTAAACCAACATCGAAGGTCTTGTCACTTTGCATAATAAAATCGGCTCTAATGACATTAACGAAGACACTACAAACTAACGACAGTATCGACTGATATCAAAACTAGTTTATAATCGAATTTTCCATTAATTAGTAAATCTCAATTTTATGCAACTTAATCCCGTTCTCCATTTTTCGTAATTTAATATATTTTTCCTGTCATTAAAAATCATTGTTTCGCAAATTTTTTTTTTACCTAAAATTTAAAACTAAAATGTCAATAAATTTTTCTCTATGTCGACAATTTGTTTATAAAAAAGAAGAAAATAATAAAAAAAAGTGATTATTTATCAATTATAAAATATAAAATAAAAAATAAAAATGGAAAATAAAATGAAAATAGAAAATTAAAATTTTGGAGAAAATTAAAAAATATAGGTATTCAAGTGTTTTAATGGAGAAAATTTTCACCTAAAATTTGTAACTCAATAAATTTTTCTCTATTTTGACAATTTTTTTCAATAGCAAATAATACAACTCGTGATTATTTATCAATTATAAAAATGAAAGATAAGAAATGAAATTAAAATAAAAAATAGAAATAGAAATAGAAAATAGAAAAGTAAAATTAAAATACAAAATAAAAATAGAAAATAAAAAATGAAATTGAAGTACAGAATAAAAATAGAGAACAGAAAATAAAATTGAGATAGAAAATAAAAAATTGATCAGAATATATAAAAAATGGACAAAAATTTAATTCCCTAATACTGAAGAAAATTAAGTATTCGTGTGTTTTAATAGAAAGAAATTGGTCTGTGAAAAAGGGTGAAAGCTTCTTTTGAGAATTATAAAAACAGGGAGTGGCTGTCATAATGCAAATTAATGTTTGACTGCGGTAATTTGAAAAGGGGGAGTTGTGGAAAAAAGGCCTGGCCAAGATCCAATTCTGATTGAACAATTGAGTCTATTGGCTCGTGGTTAAAAGATGTAATTTATTTTTCTCCAAGTGTTGGACAAAAGAGGTCAAAACGTGAAAGGTTTTAGAAAATTTCTTTTACATTCATTTTTCAAGAGTCAGCAAGCACAAGAAATCCACGATAAAAATCCAAGTTTCAATTGTGAAAGAAATCCATTTCTCTTCTTTTATTTGCAATTGAATAAAATATAGTGCTGCCTCAAAGAAATTTTATCGAAAAAAAGAGAGAGATAAACAAGTAAAAAATTGAAAATGAATAAATTGGAAATAAATAACATAACAAGGAGTAAGAAACGATAAAAAAAACATAAAAAAACATAAATGAAAAAATAAAAAAAATGGCAAATTAGAAAATTAGAAATAAAAAAATGAAATATAAAAAAATAAGAAAATAGAGGATAAAAAATAAAGCAGAAAATAAAAAAAGGAAAATAAAAAGTCAGAAAATTAAAAAGAAAAGGGGGAAATGGAAAACGTTTGAATAACAAGAAACGAGAAAGAAAAGAAAATTGGAGAAAAAGTAATCATCATTCACAGTTGGAAATATTTCAAAATCAATTAAATACGTATTTATCTCCAACATTGAAATATTGTAATTTAACTCCGCAGTCTAGACTTTCAACCATTTTCACATCGATCCATTTGAACTCTTTCTTGTTATTTAGTTTCCAGTTCTCGTATTGCTGGACAATTTTACATATTCTGTACCAATTTCTCCCTTTAACAGTATTTCAATACTTTTGATATTTAAAAAATAATTTCAATTCTTTAAAAATTATTTTCTCCTTCTTGCAAAATTTTTCTTTCCTATTTTTCTTTATCAAATCCATTTTATTTGTTTTCAAATTGAAACAATTATATGTACGTAATTTTTGTTGACAAAAATGCTACTTCAGAAAAAATATCTTACTTGTTGCCTTCATTGTCAACTAATATATAGACCGTATGATCCGAATTTCTCATTTTTGTTGCACTCGTTATTGGTTTACTGAGTCCTTGTGCTTTCGACGATGCCTCGCCTATTTCATCCAGAATTCGAGTCAACTGCCTCTGGCACTCACTGAAATAGAAAAAAATATGTCAATTGTTGATAATAAAATTTTATCCTTCAAAATGTTTAATATTTTTCATTAATTAGACATTAAAGAATGTTTAAAAAATTTAAAATATTATTAATATTTGTTTCAATTTATTTTTCCATTTCTTTCCAATTAGAAATTTTTAATTTATATAAAAAAAATTTTTTTTAAATTCATGCGTACAAAATTCAAAGACATAACAAATTTACAAATTTAGATTAATTTTTTTTAGTCAGAAATTTTTAATCTAAATAAACAAACGTGACAAAAAATATACCGAATAAAGAAAAATAAATAAAAAAAAGTTCAAGTGTGAAAAAATTACTTTGATTAATTTTTATTATTAATGATAAAAGAAAATTCGTAACAAGAAATAATTTTGTTGGAAGTTTTTAAAATCTTGTGAATTTTCGGTGAATCTTCAAGATAATAAAATATAAAATTTACATTAATGAACACGAATGACCCAAGTAAAATAATTTCCGCAAGATCCACTTTCAAAACATTCATAAACCACTATAAATTATTTATTCAACTTGCTCCAATTTTTCTTTTTTATATCATCGGCCCCTTTAATCCGAATTCATTAATTCATTTACCGAACATCTCGAAAAATAAAAGAGGAAATACAATAAAAATTCTGACTCATTTCTATCACGCAATACCCTACTCGTTATTCCACAAAAAAAAGAAGACAATTTTATCACAGGTGTCTAAAAAAAAGGTGTGAAAGAAAAAAAAATTTCTAGCAAAAATTAGTTTCCCTAAAGTCATCAAAACAAATTTTTCTATATTTACGATACAAAAATTTTTCTTTTTCTCTTTTTTAATGAAAAGAAATTTTGCTCTCTCGAGCAAAACGAAGTTTTACGAATAACGGTGTAAAAACACACACCAAAGAGAGTTAATTAGAGACGTAATTCCGTTAGTAAAATCTAAGGGGACGAAAACTTTTCATCTTGAAAAATTTCCAATTAGAAAAAATGTCTTACTGGAAAAAAAAATTCGAAACCTGTTTATTTTAAATACTTTTTGACGTGAACGAATTTTTTCCCTTTTTTTATATATTTTCTGTCTATAATGATTTAAGTGTGATATATGATTCAAATTACGTTTGAAATCAAGGTTGAAAACTCACGCCTGAGTTAACTATATACTATGAATAATTACGTAAGTTTATCAGTCATCGACATTTTAATCACACTTTTAAAGGCATCTGAGTATTAAGTTTCCACATTTTCAACTAAATAATATTCAGTGCAAGTCAATTTCGCTTTGAAGAAAATTATAATGATTAAAGAAAAATTATCAAAGTTATTTTTAATTTTAATTAAATAAAATTCTCAGCACTTGGATTCCAAATAAATAAATAAAATTAATAAAAAATTTTAAAAGTAATTCAATAAAGGAAAGGAATTTTCATTTAATTAAATAATATTTTTAAAGTAATTTAACAAAATTTCAGCAGTAATTTAATAAAATTTCAAACAGAATTTAAAAATCAAGTGAAAATTCAAAGGGAATTTTATTTTAATTAATTATTAAATAAAATTTCAAAGGGAATTTCAATTTATTTAAATAAAATTTCAAAAGTAATTTAACAAATTTTTAAATTAAAAACCAATCACAATTTAACAAACAAAATTCTTTAATAAACAGACAAATTTCTATTTCATTTAATTTATATTTATTAAATAAAATTTGAAAATTAATTTCAAACGTAATTTATTTGTTTATCTATTACATAATCGGATCCAGAAAGAAAAGACTTAATTTATTAATAGCACAGTTTTTCTAAGGATATCAAATTGAGACCAAAAAAATTCATTAACCGAACATCTCGAAAAATAAAAAACGAAATAAAATAAAAATTTTCGAGACAAAAAGTTAATTAACTTTTTTTTCTCAATTTGATATCCTTAGAAAAATTGTGAGATAAAATTTGAAAAATTAATTGAATTGAATTTGTAAATACAAAAAAATAAATTTTTGAGGCGAATTAAAAAACAATAGAAAAAAACCAAAAAAATCCTTTAAAATGTAGATACTCGTTCAATCGTTTATTTTCGAGAGGCGTAAAAATTTTAAACTAGGTTTTGAGAACTATTTTACAAGACCCTTTCGCGCATCGCGTGTCAGAAAAATAAAATGTTTAATGAGATATGATCATGCTTTTTTCCAGTTCACTAGTTCAATTCCTCTGATAGTATAAGTCATTAACTAATATGTTCCTCTCTCTTTCTTTTCTAATCGAAAAAAATGACGAACCAATTTAATTCTGATTTCTCTTTCAATTTTTTTTCTCGAGATTACTCTATTGCAATTGCGGATTTCCTTTCGAGTTGTAAAAACTCAAGTTTCGCTCTTCATTCTATTCCCTCATGCGTAATATTTTTTTCTCAAACTCCTTCTGCATTATTTATTTTCCCCTTATTTTTTTTCGCTAATTTTTTTTTTTTTAATTAAAATGGTTTACTTTTAAATTAATTTAAATTAATTAAATAAAATACAAATAAAAACATAAAATTCATTAAATAAAATATAAATAAAAAAATAAAATTAATTAAATAAAATATAAATAAAATTATTTTTTAAAAAATCATAAAATTAATTTGCTTTCATTATAAATAAATTAAAAAATAATTATAAATTCAAATTTACATTACACTTTTAATTAAAATCAATTTCATTTTCAAATCCTCTGAAGAGGCAGCAAATTGAATTAAATTTACAATATTAAATCATAAAATTTAATAAATTGAATAATTTTTCTAATAAATTTACTTCTTTCACAATATAAAAACAGAATATACAATTTTCTTTTTCAAGTTAGATTAAAATTGCCAAACGAATTAGGCTCGACGCCTTAAATTTGAAGTTCCTAATTAAATCAATAAGATAAATCACAAAAATAATGACGGGAAAAATTAAATTCCTCATTTTGCGTATAATTATATGGCAATCACGTAACTATAACTACAGCATTTTGTTGATATATCAATTTCGATCACGCTACATTCTAAAGTTTCGTGCACTTTCGTGACTGTGAGTCACTCTTGAACAATTCTCTAACTTTCATATAAAATAATAAAAAAAAAAATAAATAAATTAGGAAAAATTTCCTCATTACTTTCACACTTTTTCTTCGTATATTCAATATTGTCTCCTAAAATAAATTCTTCTCAAAAATTCTCCTAAAAATCCTAAATTACCAGAAATAATTTTTTATCTCTCCAATAGTTCTACTTAAAATCACGATAAATAAATTTGTATTAATTAATTAATTTTTGTTTTTCACTTTTTACTTTTTATTTTTCACAATCTATTTATTTTAAAATAAATTTTTATTTACACATTTTTATTGTACAAAATATTAATTAATAATAATAATAATAATTAAAAGTGAATTCAATTATTTGGAAACAATAAAAATACACAAATCGAGATTTTAAGCAGAAAATTATTTTATACATAAAAAATTATTTCCAATAATTTAGAAGACAATTTATAAAATATTTATAATAATTATTAATAAAAAGTCTAAAATTTGATAAATAAATTTTTATTGGTATAAATTTTATTTATTTATTATTATTATTTTATTTATTATTTTTATTTATTCTAAACTAAAACATATTCTTATTGTAGAAAATATACTTGGTCTATAACAGCCAAATTCATTTTTTAACCTAGATTTTTTCTCAATTTTTCGAAATTCTATCCATTTTACAACATATTTCTCTGCCCACGGAAATTTGCCTCCACGTCCCACGCTAAAATATTCCGCAGGTAAATTTTCTTCCCATAGAGTCTATAACAAAATATCAAAAATTTCACAGACAATTACAATATTAATTTCTATAAAATTTCTGACGATAAAAAAATTCTTTAAAATATAAAATAGTACCCTCTACATTTTTTTTTCTCTTAAAAAAACAGAAAAACGCATTTATAATACCGAAAAGAATGTCAGTCAAAAAAGGAAAAGACAATTTAATATTTCAATGTCAATATCGCGCGCATTAAATTTCATCGCCCACACAGGTTAAAATCATCATCAGTTAAAATAATAGTTAAAATCAGTTCCTACTGTAGAATAAAACGAGAATAATTTTCTTGTATTGAGAAAATACATTTTATCCCCGAGGATAAATATGTAAATAAATAAATATATAAATATATGAATAAATAAAAAAATAAAAATATCCGTTTTTTCATTCATATTCCAATTTTATAAATTTGTCATTGAACAGTGAAAGTGAACTGGTTAATGCATCGCAATTGAAGGTTTTAACCTTCAATTGCATTTGATGCAGACGTTCTGCAGACGCAAAACTTGTAAGACGTAATCTCCAAAACCGATACCAGTCACGCGATGACTAACACTTGAATAAATAATAAAAAATTATCTTTTTACTATTCTACTATTATTTTCTATTTTTTTTCCTTTTCCTAGTGAATTTTTAAAAAAAATTTCCTCTCTTTTAGACAAAATACGATTTTTCAATAAAAAAAAACAATTTTTGATTTTTTTGATTAAAAAACAATTTTAAAAACTTTTATCAAATAAAGACAAGAAGAATTATCACAAGGAAATAAACTTATTGCTTACATAATGTTATTTACAAAATCCACAGAGACAATAGAAGAGATTTCGTCACATTAAGAAAGGAAAATTATCAAACGAAGTAGAAACTCGTTATTTTATAATTAAATACAGATATTACTTCAGAATTAATACTATTCCTGTTAATTATAATATAATTTTATATTTATTAACTTTTTTTCGAAAACTAGATTCAAAATTAGTAGAAAAGTAAATTTCCCTTAATTAAATAATCCCTTAATTAAAATAGAAATTTTTAAGAAATTTTTAATTTATAAATGTAATTCTTCTTGTCATTCGAAATTTTTCGACTCGAAAAATGTTTAGCTAAAATAGATTTCGGAAACTCACTTGAATTCCCTTCGATCACCTCGAAAGTCCTCTGGAATAAGGGTGTGCGTGATCTTGTTGATTTTCCGGGGCAAGAGTTTATTCACGTTGAACTTGAACTCCATTTCGAAGGTCTCAATCTTTCAAACAATTCCTCGTATAGTCCCACAAATTGTATTGTAGCACAAAAAAATGTCGAATAAATTCTTTTTCAAATTTCCATTAATTTTCCAATTATTCCCCTTCTTGGTAATTATATCCTCAATGTTGCGAAAAAAATTACTCTCCAAACTTCGTCTACTTTCGCCAAAAAATAAAACAGAAAAATTGCTTTATAAATTTACAATATTTTATGGAAAAAAATTAAAAACTTGAGAATTCATTTTTTTTTTCTGTAAAATATTTAATTCAAGAACCTCACTTTTTGACAGTTGTGACAGTTGCTGTCAAGTCACGTGGAGAAACGAAAACACTCAATTATTGTCCAATTCTTTTTTTTCTATATTCAGGTGAGTAATTGATGTCACTGAGAAAATCGATTTCACGCAATTTCTTCTTCTTTCCTTCCCTCTCGTTGTTTTGTCGTAAAAGGGGCGAGAGAGAGATTTTCCGGAAGAAGATAAAAAAGCCTGTGTCTCGAATGGATCGATCCTTGCTACAATCTCCTCCTTCTATTCTAATTTACTCTCCTCTCTTGCCAACATCTTCATTTTCCAATTTCCTTAGTGTATTCTATTCCTGAATATTGTAAAGAAATTTTTTTTTTATTTATAAAAGTGAATAAATTGAGATAAATCTCTTCGAAGAAAGTGAAATAAGAGGCACTAAAAATCACCTGGTGGACCTTCGACTGGTCCGGACTTCACTGGCAAGCGTTCCGTTCATTTTTTCACAGAAACTCGCGCCGTACGCAAAGCCAAGGCCCCTTCACTGCGCATGAACCTGCTGTAGGTTGTGGATTGAAAGTGCTGCTTCTAAAACACTTTAAAACATACGCAAACATGTTTTTCATTGTTCAAATCATAAACCATATCGTTGAAATTCAAAAAAAAAATTTATTTATGTAGATTTCTTTGTCTCGCTCCAGTAAAATTCTCCTCTCCTCGAGTTCGACTCACAGCAGACTCTTTCTTCGCTCCTTTCCTTCCAAAACTCTTCAATTTAATCTGAAAAAGTCAACAAATTTTAATAACCAAAAAAAAAATGTAATTTGTTTTCAAAAAAAAAAAATTCTTGTAATTTATTTTCAAAAAAGTAAAATTTTCTTAGTTTTCACCAAAAATAAATGAATAATTTACAAAAAAGAACAAAAGAAACAACATCAAAAAATAATTAACTAGAGAAAATAACAAAAAATTAAATTGAATAGACAAAAAAGTTAATTAATGAAATTTAAAAAAAAATTGCGGAAAAGTTAATAAATAAATTTAAAAAATAACAGAATAATTGAAAAGGAAGAAATAAAGAAAAATTGACTAAAAATTGAAAAAATAATGAAAAATTTAACAAACAAAAGAAGAAAAAGTAAAAAATAACAGAAAAATTAACAAGTAAAATAAAAAACAACAGAAAAATAAACAAATAAGTTAAAGAATATCAGAAAAATTAATAAATAAATTTAAAATAATGTAACAACATTTTTTTAAATTTAACAATTAAAATTAAATTAAATTAAATTATTAAATTTATTTATTAATTTTTCTGATATTCTTTAACTTATTTGTTTATTTTTCTATTGCTTTTTATTTTACTTGTTAATTTTTCTGTTATTTTTTATAACAGAATTTTTCTTCAGACAAAAGAAAAAATTTAAAAATAACACAAAATTTAAAAAATAGAATAAGAAAAAAGAATAAAATAGTCTTTACAAAAAGTAAAAATTAAGAAAATACAAAATAAAAATTGTCTAGTAAAAAAATATCAGAAATTTTAATAAAAAAAGTAGAAACTAAAAAAAAATCTTCCTTTTAACAAACAAAGAAAGGAGAATAAAAATTGAACAGAAATTAAAAAATAACAGTAAAATTAACAAATAAAAAAAAGAAATAAAAGAAAATTGCTAAGTGAAATAAAAAAAAATTGGAAAAATTAAAAAAATAAAATAAAAAGTTAAGTAAAAAGTCCAGTAAATAGTTAAGTAAAAAGTCCAGTAAAAAGTTCAGTAAAAAGTTTAGTAAAAAGTCCAGTAAAAAGTTAAGTAAAAAGTCCAGTAAAAGGTGAAGTAAAAAGTTAAGTAAAAAGTCCAGTAAAAAGTTAAGTAAAAAGTCCAGTTAAAAATTAAGTAAAAAGTTTAGTAAAAAGTTCAGTAAAAAGTTAAGTAAAAAGTTTAGTAAAAAGTTAAGTTGGTTAAGTTGGTCAACATTGTGTACTTCAACTTTGTTTAAAAAATAAAAAAAAAATCATAACAAAGAAAGGATAAAAAAAAGAAAAAAATTTAACAGAAAAGTTAACATTTGCTAACAGAAAAGTTAAAAAATAAAAAAAAATTATTAAATAAAATTAAAAACAACAGAAAAATTATAAAATAAAAAAAAATTCTTACAAATACTTTTTACGAAGAGAAAATTTAGAAATAGTGACTATAATAAATACTTTATTAAAATTATGGAATAATCACACTTGTCAGAGAGATTTACAACTTGAAAAAATATATATACAGGAGGTATTTACAAATTAATAGGAAGGCAGGTAGACAATTTTCTTCTTCTTTCACCCGCCATGTACAAAAATAATACATACGCGCAATTTTACGAGATATAATGGATCAATGAAACGCTCTAATTACGCTTGAATCTATTAATTGTTGTATTTTGTTCAAGGAAATTATTATTTTCCACTGTTTATTTATTTCATTAAAAAAAAAAAAATAAAAGAACTAAGATGAATAGAAAAATATAAATAAATTTTGGAATGTCATGAGAATAATGTGATCGTGAATATATGTATGTTTTCGAGGTTGTTAAACCAGAATCGAGTTTTCCTTCTTTTTACGCTAAAAAATATCTTTTACTAAAAAAAACTTGTAATTTTTCCATTAATTAATTTTTAATTTAATTAATTTTCAACTTAATTAATTTTCAATGTAATTAATTTTCAACTTAATTAATTTGCAATGTAATTAATTTTCAACTTAATTAATTTTCAATGTAGTTAATTTTCAGCTTAATTAATTGTCAATGTAATTAATTAATTTTCAGTTTAATTGTTGAACGTTTAATTTAATTCGTTTTAAATTCTACTTTTAGAATGAAATTAGGTCGTTAAATTAATTCACAACCTAAATTAGGTCCTTAGGAAAATATATGCGTGAATATTTACAAATGTTGAAATGAACCTTTAAAATTTACTCCACATGTAAATTGAAAGGAGACTTAATTTCTTTCTATTTTGTGAAAATGGCAAATTTGTTACGTATTTTTAAAAATTTAATTCACAGCACGATTCTGGGATACAACATAAATTGATATAGTATTTGAATAAGTGTGCGAAAAATCTCCATTTCAAAATCGTACTTAGAGCCGACTTTCAGTCTCGTCCATTTTGATTATCGTTTGCGTCCCACTTATTAACGTAATTGTACTGATATCGCGGAAAAATTAATTCCGCAGTCGCAAAATGATTATTACGACTAATTTTGTAATTGTGTATTTTTTGCAAATTATTACAATAATTAGTAATAATTTTTTTTTGTTATGTTTTAGGAAACATCGAGACGATTTTTATAAATTTCCATTGTTCTAAATTGTTCTGAATAATCAATTTTCTTGTGACTACATTTTTAAAAATAATGATTGTTTTCCAGCAACATTTAAGAGAGAAGAGTGGCGGCGATAAAATTTTTCTTTCTTTTCTTTTTTTGCAGATTCTTGTTATCATTTGTTTTTTGTCTAACTCTTCTTTGGTTTGACAAATGTCTTTGGTTTCTTCTTGAATCCACTTTGATCCCTGCAGTTTCTTTTTTTACGATGCGAAACTTTTAGCGATGGTTTCTCAACGTGTAAACGCTTTTGTCATAAATTTGTTTCCTCAACGTATTCTGTTCTTTGAAGTTGTTTATTTTCGTCGATACCGACAAAATAAGTGGTCACGAAACCCTTTGGTTTCACCCAAGTTTCACCTCGTTTATGACATTTCACGCCATTCTGCTCTAAAACTGCGGCCGTCTCTTTAGTAACCTGTGAATAATGTATGAAATTTTATCTATTTTAATTATTTCTTAAAATTTTATTAAAATTATTATTTTGTAGTATTTTACTATTTCTTGCAGGGTTGCCATAAAAATTTGATTTTATTGTAATTAATTAATTATAGAAATTTGTTATTTTCCCAATACTTTTGATAAAATTCCCTGAGCAATTTCATATTTCCCTGACTTTTCCTTGATTTCCATTACTTGTGGCAATCCTGTAATTTAATTTTCTAAAATTGAAAATTAGTAATACTTTTTTTTTCAACATCGCAAATTTTTTTTCTAAATTTACGAAATTCGGAAAGATTTAAAATTATTTTGAAACCTGAATTTTTCCAGCGACGCCAGTAGTGTCCATTCGCGATGCCATATTTACAGCATCTCCCCAAATATCGTAAAGCGGTTTCTGAGCACCGACAACGCCGGCCGTGACTTCACCATGCGATATTCCTATTCTCAATCTAATTTCAAAATATAATGGTAAATATCAAAATATTTTTTGACGAAACATTATTTTCAATAAAATATTAATATTGAGAAAATCTTACACGTATGGTTTATTGCAAGTAAATGCATCAGCATTCATTTTGTCAAGAACAATAATCATTTGTGCGGCGAATTGGGCCATAAGTTTCACAACATCATAATGACCCTGTGTGTCATCTTCGCTTCCTGTACTTCCCGTGCTTCCCGTACTGTAAATAGAATCTCTCCTTGATGCCTCCAATCCACAAGCCGCCATGTAAGTCGTACCTTTTGTAAATTTACCCCAAATTAGAAAAATTATATTTCCAAATGTATTTTCAAAAAAAAAACTACATGTCGCTTTGTTCCAATTGAAAAAAAATATTTTTTCCAAAATTAAAAAATTTGATATATTTATTAATTATTAAATAAATAAAATTGATACAAAAAACGATATCTCACCAGCTATCTTAATTTTTTCGATTTTACAATTAAAATCAGATTCAAACAGCAGCTTGTCGAATTCGCAAATAATCTCATTTAAGTCAACCAAAATATTGCTCTCGTCAATCGATAAATCCGTGAGGGACGCAAACATTACTGCTACATTTTCATGTGCCTCATGATAAAGTTCATTTTCCTCGGTTCGATTCATATTCAGATAAAATTCCGCTGCAATGAATAATAATTGTTTGTTTAACACTGTATTATCAGATTAATAAAATTTAAAGTAAAAAAGCAAAAAATAATACAGGATTCCCATCAATAGATAACAAATCTATCATTAATAATTGTATTACGTTATTTATATTTCTCGCAAAATTTCCTTATTGTCATTAAGCAATTTTGATCTCAACTGTTAATTATTAAATTAAGATTTACAATTGCCACTTACCAACGTGTTCAGGTAGGATGTTCCTTAGCAGTAATTTGTTTGCGTTTCGAGTATGAAAAGCTTCGTCCTGCTCCTTGGTCAGCTGTCGCTTCCATTGGTAGTCCAGTCTGCTTAAGTACTCTGCCTGAATGAATCGTCGTGAACGTGAACTTGAACGAATGATGAAACGAAAAGGATCGCTCGATAATTCGAACTTTGCAAATTGAACTCAAATACATCATGGACTTGAATTGAATTTGATTTTTTTGTTCAATCTCAAAAAATCATTTTCGATTTAAAATTAAAATCAAAGAAAAAGTCGAATTTTGAAAAGAATTAAAAATTTTAATTTTTGAATTTTGAATACAAAAAAAATTTTTTTTTTTGAATTTTGAGTACAAAAAAAATTAATCCTTTCGTTTTAAGCATGCCCATGATCCTTAACTTGACTAAACTCACCTGACGATCTATGAGATGCAATGAGAAGGTCAAGAAAGCAACACTCAAACAATGCGCCAATTCTGGCTCCAGGTAAGGATTCCACGTCTCTCCAGACTGAAACAAAAAAAAATTAGCCTTTTTTCAAAAATAATTTTAAAAAATTATAAAAATTTTTTTTTTTTCAAATTTTTATCTTCATGTACCTTGAATATAAGAGCTCGATTGTACCAGATATTCCAACTGTAAAAGATTACAATAAACACTCCAATTAACCATTTAAGAAGATAGTGAACTCGGAGAAAGAGAAAACTGGTCAGAATTGCCAACGAACAGGTTTCCGTCATTTGCTGAAAGGAAAAAAAATGTATTTTTAAATTATCCGCAAATAATTGCTATTCATTATTTTTATAATAATTAATAATTTACGTTTCAAGTATAAAATGGAATTTAATTTACCCATGGTGTCGACATGCAATCCAAATTCGCCGAACCAACTTCCGCAATGTCCGAAGTTACATTATTCGATGAAAGTTTATCCGAATTATGACACTCAAACTAAACGGAAAAATAAATTTGCAATTGTAATTTATGAAATTATATTAGAATATTAATATTATTAAACTTACCAATAAATCGAGCATTGCACACGTAGCCAACATTATCGAAATTACTAAATAAAGTATCGTTCTCAGTAGTGCGCTCCAAACAACCTAAAAATATAATTTTAAATCAAAACTAGTCAAATATGTATATGTAAAATTAAAAATCCTAAATTAGTTTCTTAAATAATTTATTTGTCCAAAGAATTTATTTACTTGATTTTAAGAATCTATTTACTTTCAGTAAATGAATTGAATTTTTGGAAATTGGTACTAATTTAATTAATTTTGATAATTAGAATTACTAGAAAGAAAAACACAATCCTTCCTCTATAAGGAAGCAATTATTAAAATTTTTATTATTTCACAATATTTTAATTTTTGTCTGAAGAATTTATTTCTTGTAGGTAACTGAATTGGATTTTTGGAATTTGGTATTAATTTAATTAATTAAAATTAAATAATAATTAAAAATTACCAAAAATAATTAAAATAATAGCCAAAAATTATCAAGATTTGTATTATTTTACAATATTTTAATTTTAATTACCAAAATTAAATTAATACGAATTTCCAAAAATCAAATTTAATTCAATTATTAAAAATAAACAATTTCTTAAGGCGAGTAAATAAATTATTTTGACGAATAAATTATTTTGTCGATTAAATTATTTTGACAAATAAATTATTTTGACAAATAAATAAAATCATTGGACAAATAAATAAATTACTTGAGACAAATAAATAAATTCTTCAGCCAAGTAAATAAATCTTGAGACAAAAAAAATCAATTTGCTAATTTTACGTTGACTTAAATTTCCTGGACTTTTAGACATTCTAATTATAAAATTTATTAAGAAAATTTAATAATTTCAAATTTCTTATTCTTAATAAATTTATAAATTGCTTATTTCATCGTGTTCTTTTTACGATCATTGTATATTAGGCGCGAACCTTGATACTCGTCTGGTACATAAAATGAAGAAGTTTATTCGTTGGTTGCGGAAAATGTCCTTCATGTTCATCGTGAGGATCTTTATATCTATTCCAGATAAAATGCATCCAAGTGAGGGGTATCAGCGCTACTAAAAACAGCATTACCACCGTATAACCAACGGACGTTGTCAAGTGCCACCTGGAAAATTAAATCATCATTTTTTATTTCATTTCCAAAGGCAATTACTTTTATCCTTGAAATTAATTTATAACTTATTTCCGAAAATAGTTTCACTATTTCAATTTTCGTCTCACTATTTTTTATCTACATTTTTCTTTAATTTTTATTTAATTCTACTACTTTACTTTTCATTTACTTTTTATTTACAATTTAATTTATTTATTTACTATTTCTCTATAATTTTTATTTATTTTTACAATCTTTTTATTTTTTATATATTTTTACAAACTCTTTACTTTTTATTTATTTTTACAATCTCTTTACTTTTTATTTATTTTTACAAACTCTTTACTTTTTATTTATTTTTACAATCTCTTTTCTCTTGATTTATTTTACAATTTCTCTTCAATTTTACATTCATTTCTCCTACAGCGATTTAAAATTTTTCCAAAATGATGAAAAAATTTACTTACTGCGAGAGTGATAATGAAGGAACGAGAAAAATGAGACCCATAGAGAGCAGAACAAGCGCTGCACAACCGACGTAAAATTTAAAAAGAGGATCTGGCTCCTTCCAAAATGGTATTTCCCAACTTCTGTCAGGAAAAGTCAGAAAAAGAGGATTGATGTGTTCCCATTTACACCATTGTCTGTCGAAAAAAAAACCAATCCTAGTACAATAATAGAAAAATTGATTAAATTACAAAGTTTTCCAGCAACAAAAATAAATACGTAATAATAATAAATAAATTTAGCAAATAATCTAAAATTCAGGAATCACAGTTATTTTTTCAAATATATTACGTAATTGCAGTAAAATTGACTTCGGATTTACAAGTAAAATTCCCTCCAAAAACTGTAAAGTTTGCTATTCAAAATTTTTATCCACAGAAGAAAATTAAAATTATAAATATAATTCCAGAAAAAATTTTTTTTTGATAAAAATTTAAAAAATTTACTTCACTTTAATCACATTTATTCCGGAAACAAAAATTTCTATTTTCAATAAAAAAAAGGAGATTAACTGTGATCCCTGAAAATTGAAAAACATGCAAACGAAGGAAAATTATGAAAATAGGAAGTAAAAATTTTTCTACTAACTCCCATTTGCTGAGGGGCATTTGCTTAATAGCATTTTCCATTTCAGCGTCAGCAGCTTTTAGCATAAGATGATAATCCTTGAGGCATGAGTCCATAAAGTGCGTTCTTCTTCGATAGCTGCATGCAAAAACATCAGCGTGATTATTCATCGTCGACGTGAGTCTTCTCGTACTTCTTGCTGAAGGTCCAATTGTCGTGCTGGGTCGCACATTGTACCATCTCACGTAATGTTTACTCGGCGGCGGAGTACTTGGTGATAAAAGTGTCAAGGGGTTCTCGCTGTTCTGGAACAAGGTTCGCCTGTCAACGATTTTCACAAAAGAAATCACTTCACGAAATTTTACAAATCTCAAAAATCGTGAAATTATTTCTCTGTCCTTTCAACAAAATTTTTTAACTTTTCTCTACAAATTTCTCTTTCTATAAATTTTTTTCTCTTCCAAATTTTACAATTTTTTTGCTATAAAATTTCTGTTCGTAAATCCATTGCAAAAAGTAATTATAATTATAATTATAACGAGTAGAATTAATCAAAGAAAAATAAGGAAAGCAAACGTTAAAAAAAAAAATTAAAGATTGCTATTTTTGGAATTTATAAAAAGAGGGAAAAAATAAAAGGTCACGCACCGGCGATTCTGGTGAAGCAGGTAATGTGGGTGTGATCAGGTAACTTTTCTTAATACCATATTTCTTGAGTGTCTCATCATTTATCGTTTCAGCTGGAACGCAATCATATTGATTGGCGTCTAGAAGATTGAGAGTTTCTTGAGTAATGTGAACTTTTCCAGGTTTGCCAGTTTGCTCCATTTTGTTAGCAATGACTACATCGCGTGACCAGACATCATACTGCCATTTATTGGCACCAAGAATACCCGATATAATCTTTCCAGAATGTACGCCAATTCGCATATTCACGTCAACTCCACTTTCACGTTTCACTCTTGCTCGTACTTCCTTAATGATCTTGATCATGTCCAAACCTGTAAAAATAAGTACACCGCAAATTACATACCAAAAATTTAACAGTTAATTTAAATTCCTTTCTTTCGAGTAATAAAAAGAAATTTCTTTTACTTTCTTAATAACAATTGTCAGAAAAAACTAACCGAGATCCACACAACTTTTTGCGTGTTGAGCATTTGGAGTTGGCACACCACTCACACAATAATAACAGTCTCCTAAAAATTTTATCCTAAGGACATTGTGTCTCTCTGAAGCCTCGTCGAAACTTCCAAAAAGATCGTTAAGCGTCTCCACTAATTTTTTCACTGGCAATGTGACAGTGAGTCCGGAAAAATTCACCACGTCCGCATAGAGAATACTGACATTATTGTGCGTTTCAACGTACAAATCGCTAAAAAAAAAAAAAACAAAAATATTAGTCAAAAATTCAAAATTTTTCAAAATATTTTTAAAAAATTACTTCCTTCTAAAAAAATTAATTACTATAAAAAAAACTCACTTGCGGTGTCGTCCCTTTGGCGGTGGTTTCTTGTGCTCTTCGATAAATTTGAAAATATCACGAAAATCTTTTTTGATCTTTGCTGCAAAGTGGGGAGGTAAAATACTCCGAGTGAGTTGCTCCTGAAAAACGTGAGAACAACACATTTCAAATAACAATAAATCCTTAAAAGTTTATTTTATATTGAAAAAGCAAAAAAGAAACTGTTTATTTATCTTGTCTCTATAACAACTGTGGAATTATTTTTGATCTAAGAGTACAATTTTCCTCATGAGTCAGAATATTTTGCGAGACGGTCCACGCAACATTCTTCAGCTCATGTGTGCTTTCTTAAGATTATTTATCAAATCGAAACTTTAAAACAACAATTCAATATAAATTTAATGAAAAATTAAATTTTTCCTTCAATTCTAATGCAGAATTAAATTTTATGCTGAATTTTAATGCAAACTCAATGTAATTTAATTGAAAATTAAATTTTATGTTGAATTTTAATGCAAATTCAGAACAAGATAATACAAAATTTAATTTTTCATTCAATTCTAATGTAAAATTTAATTTTGCATTAAAGTTTTTGATTTTAATACAAAATTAATTTTTGTGTTAAATTTAAATGTAAAATTAATTTTCCTGTTCAATTTTGATACAAAATTATTTTTGTACAAAATTAATTTTTTTGTTAAATTTCAATATAATTTGATACAAAATTAAATTTTACGTTGAATTTTAATACAAAAAATTAATTTTTGTGTTAAACTTTAATAAAAAATTAATTCTCGTGATCGATTTAATAAGAAAATTAATTTTCGTCTTAAATTTGAAAGCAAAATTTATTTTCATGTTCAATTTTGATACGAAATTAATTTCTGTCTTAAACTTTAATGCAAAATTAATTCTTGTGTTTGATTTTAAATCAAAATTAATTTTTGTGCTAAATTTGAATGCAATAAAATCGAATGGATTTAGGAATGTGAAAACTTAATAAACAAAGGAAAATCCAAGAAATGATAAATATTGATATTATCGCGTACTTCTTGATCCTTTTCGTAATTAAGTCTCAATGTGGATTCAACACATTTTCTTCGATCCAAAAATGATCTCCTGATGACGACTTCATTCATAAATCTGAAGTATAATCCTAAGCCATTCACACTAGCGAAATATATTGAGTCCGTAATCATCTGAAATTAAAAAAAAGAAATATTATTGATCACCGAATTGTCACTCGATAAGATAACTCTTTTTTCCACATTATTACTGATCTTCATTAACAAAAAAAAACAATATTTTAAAGTTCTGGTAAAAAAATAATTAATTTGTTAATTAAAAGTTAAATGCAAATTAAATTAATTGCATTCTCATTAAAACAAAAATTTTTCAAAAAATAATTTTTTTACACTCGAAATGTTTGTCAATAAAAAGGAAATATTTCCTTTATCATTGTCAACTCATTTTTTTTCCATATTTCTTATACATTATGTCAGAAAAAGAAGTGTGTAAAAATTATTTTCCAAACATTTACTTTGTCGACGTTTTTCTCCATTCTTTTTCTCTAATCTTAAAGGAAAAATAAACATTTCGATCATAAGTGGAGATTCAATGCAAAGAATAAAAAATTTATTTTATTCGAATAGAAAATATTTGTGTAAATATTTTTTAATTTTCTAAAAATATTTGAAATTCCTTATTAATGGAAAGCAAGCAGAGCATTTTTAAGAGAAATTGATAACAATCTCCCTTCAAGTGTTGTATTAATAAAACAGAAAAGAAAAAAAAATGTATGGAATTATTTTTATCAAAATTCGCGACTTATCAAATTCATCTCTATCCAAAAAAGAATTGTTTATTATTCGAGGGAGCAAACTAGAATCAATTAAAAAAAAAAATAGGGGGAAAGAATTTCTTTCTATCGAAAATTATATTTACGATAAAATAGACTTTATTGTTTGGAATCTTTAAACACTTTGATTTTAATTCATCTTCAAAAATGAAATCGGTGTTACCAAAATAATCTTTTGCCTTCAAACAGTCGTTATTTCGAAATTAGAATTAGTTCACGTGCAATTATATATATTTTCGTCATTTGCACTATTGCACGATAGTGATTCATTTTTGTTAGAATTCGCAATTCATATATATGACGACAAATAAATTGCACGTATTTGAAGCGTAGTTATTCCCCACGAGGGAGCGAGAAACTAGAAACCTCAACCACAAAAGCCAATGTCAATTGACAAAATAAAGAAGAAAACAAAAATAAAAAAAAAGAAACCCTTCTCTCTTCCTGCAGCAATTGAATCATATCAGTTTGAAAACTTTTTCCACAAATCGAAAACTTCGCTCTCTTTCTCTCACTTTCTTTTAATTGGAAAACATTATCACCTCCAGCAAATAATGAACAATCAATAAATATATTTCAACTTTGATAATAAATAAACAAACAAATAAATAAAATACAAATCGTCTAGGATTAAATGCAGAACAAATAAATAAAATGCAATTCAGAAATAAGTAATTAAATAAATAAAGTGCAAAATAAATAAAGAAAATCCAAAATAAATAAATAAATTCTAAAATAAGAAAATTAATTCTAAATAAAATAAAAAAATAAGTGAATAAATAAATGAAATACAAAATAAATAAATAAATTCCAAAATAAGAAAATTAATCCTAAATAAAATAAAAAATAAATAAATAAAATACAAAATGAAGGAAATAAAATACAAAATAAGAATTCAAAATTAAATACAAAGACTAATTGCGAATAAAAACAGGAAATTTCTCTTTCAAAGGCGCCAAAAATTATTTTTCACTGAAACTCACCCTGCTTTTTATATCCGGCATATTCCTGTACGTGACAAGATACAAACTTGACAGATAAGTAAAAGTCGTCGTCATTCCCAAAATGAAAGCGTGCAAATTTTCCGTCAGCGGCAGAAAAACGTAACAGGCCAAAAGAGCATGAGTAGCGTACGCTGGCCTGTAAAAAAAATAATTCTGTACCAAATACAATTTTTTCACAAATATTTTCTTTTAGAAATATTTTTCTTTACAGATATTTTCTATACAGATATTTTCTTTGACAAATATTTTTCTTTAGAAATATATTTTTTTAATTATTTTTCTTTAGAAAGATTTTTTAATATTTTATTTAAAAATAGTTTATTTTTTAATATTTTATTTAGAAATAGTTTTTTTTTTAATATTTTCTTTAGAAATAGTCTTTTTAATATTTTTTTAGAATAAATTTTTTTTACTATTTCTTTAAATAATTTTTTAGTAATGAATTTTTTTGGAAATATTTTCTTTTCAAATTTTTTCTAATCTCCGTTTTCTTTACAAAAAATACTTTTTTCCTGTCGCATTTTTTTTCTCTTCAATAAAAAAAAATATAAAAGAAGTGATAATTTGATATTTAAATTGTAACGTGTAAATAGTAATGAAGATAATTGTAATTAACAGAAAAAAAAGTGACGGCAAAGTTTTAACACTATATATATTGTTGTACACAACACTTATAATTAATGCGACCTCGACCGATTAGCGGTTCAATTCTGAGTTGTACATTATCTTAATTACCTTATCGGCGGACCGTCCTCGGCGCTGGTAAACGTGTAGTAAAGAGGTACGGCTAAATCGCCGATTACAAGAAGGGCGACAATAACACATGACAGAATAACCGGAAGATAAGCTTTCTTTGCAATTAATTTTGTCCTAAACGAAAGTGCTATTACCGGACAGAGAAGTGCCGCTACCAAACAGTAGGTCACCACGTCCGGCACTGATTTTTGTATCGTCACCTAAAACCACAATTCAAAATATTAATCAATTAATATGTGCATTAAATTCATCATTTTTACAATTTTAATAATTTTTCAATTCAATAATTAGATAATTTAATCATTTTTAATTTAATAATTAGGTAATTTAATAAATTGACTATTTAATAATTTGACTATTTAATAAATTGACTATTTAATAATTTGATTATTTAATAATTCGACAAAATTTTTCTTTAGAAAAAATTTGCAATTAAAGTTTTATTTCTCCATTTGAAAAAATTATCCAAAAAATAAAATTTGAACAATAATATTAATATTAATAATAAAATAATAACTCAATCAATAATTAATTTATTAAATTAATATTAATAACAAATAATAGTCAATAATGTTAATTTTTATCTATTTACTAAATTATTAACCGAATTAATTAATTCACGAATATTTATACAAATTTTTAAAAATAAATTTTCAAATTGAACAAAGCGATGACAGATTTTGGCTAAAATTCAAATTTTCAAAATTAATAGTCAAGTTGATAAATTTATTTATTCACTCGAAATTGGTTAATTAGTTAATAATTTGACACTTTTCTTTTATTTAGAAAAAAAGTTGGTTATAAGTATTTCATTATTCAAATAATTTGAAAAATTAGCCAAAAAAATCAAATGTACTCAATAATTGAATTTAATAATTTAATAATCAATCAATAATTAATCATTTAATCAAAAATTAATTTATTTTATGTAATTAAAAAAATTAGTTGATTAATAAATTAATAAATTAGTTGATTTATTATCTAATAATTTGCCAATTTTTTTATTTATCAAAAAATGGGTAATAGAAAATTTATTTTTCGAACAATTTTGAAAAATTATCCAAGAAATTAAATTTTAACAATAATTGACTTTAATAACTAATCAATAATTCAGTCATTCAATTAATAATAGTTAATATTCAATAATAGTGAATATTTAATAATTGTTAATATTTGATAATAATGATTAACATTTAAAAATAGTTAATAATTAATAATGTTAATTTATCCATTAAATTATTAACTAATTTAATTAATTTTCGACTATTAAGAGAAATTTTGAAAAATAAACTTTCAAGTGGAACAAAGTGACGACAGTATCGAAAATTTTGGCTAATTTCCAAACTTTGAAAACTAATAGTCAAGTTGGAAAATTAATTTATTTATTCGAAATTAGTTTGAAAACTGGGTACTAATACCATTATAATTAATACAGTGCAATGAGCAACGCTAAGCACCAATTGCAGAAGGATGAAAAGCGAAAGATACCCATTTTGGATCCTCCTTTGATAGATCGTAAAGAGCTTTTCCAAGCTCTTGTACTTGAATTGTTTCTGAAATCAAAAAAAAAAAGATCACTTGTATTTAATTACAACAAAAATTTAAAATTCAATCTTTAATTAAATATATTGAAAAAAATATTTGACTCGAGAAAACCAAAATTCTCATCAAAATTTACGTGCTTTTTCAAATGCAAATTTTGAAAATTCAATTTTATTTCCCATCAAAGAATTAAATCAACAGATTTTATTGCTAGAAAAATTCTTACATTCCGTAAATATCAAACTAAATATTTAATTGTCGAGCCAAATATTCTTCTCGAAATAATTTTCTCCAAAAAAAATTTATACACGAAAATAATTTTCTCCACAAAAACAATTTATTCAGGAAAATAATTTTCTAATAAAAATCAGTTGACAAGCTAAAAATTTTTCTAGAAATAATTTTCTCCAAAAAAAATTTATTCATGAAAATAATTTTCTTCAACAAAAATTTATACATAAAAATAACTTTTCCAATAAAAATTAATTGTCAAGAGAAATATTTTTCTGGAAATAATTTTCTCCAAATGAAATTTCTACATGAAAATAATTTTCTCCACAAATAAAATTTCTGCAAAATTATTTTCATTTTCTACAAAAAGAAAATTTCTGCATGAAAATAATTTTCTACAAAAAGAAAATTTTTCACCGAGTGTGAATTTCATATGAAAATTAGCAAAGACTTTATAAGGAAACAAAAGATTACGAACGCGAATATTATTTTTTTTTAATTCCTTTCAAAGATTGGATTATAGTATTTATCGATTTATCCACATTTCCAAAGGAAACATTAATAATAAACGTTTTAATAGCTCTCTATCTTCTAAGAACTATGCAAAAAAAAATTCCACCACCTGCTTATAAAATAATCAACATAATAAAAAAAATTCTTGCAAAACACATCAGAAAAGTGTAATTCCACTTTTTTTTCCAACTAATTACAAAAATTAAACAAGTTCAAAAGTTGCAGCAATCAGAAAAAAAGCAAGTGTAATTCCACTTTTTAAAATAAAAATTTCAAATATTAAACAAGTTTTCCAAAGATGGAAAAATTGAGGAAAAAGTTTTAAAAAAATTAAAACTAACTCTATATATATATATATAAAAGTAAAAGTTTTTAAATTTAAGAAAAGTTTTATTTTAAGGGAAAAAAAATTCTCTCAACAGAATACACTTTAAAAAAAAAAATTGTAAAAATTCTAGTTTTAACTTGTTAGAAGTAAAGAAAAAGAAATAATCTTGTGCTCGTTAAAACACTCAAACTAAAATTGATCGTTAACAAAAGAGAAATAAAAGCTTCTTTATGTACAACGAAAATGGAAACCAACTGAAAATGACATTTAGAATACATTTAGAATACTTAATTAGAATGTACACACAAGATAAAATAATTAATGAGTTTAAGATATTCTTATTCACTGCCGGTGCGGGTATACGACCATGAAAAAAGAACTCAAATTACTTTGTGCGTGAGAAAAAAAAACAAAAAGAGAATAATAAATAATTTCTTTCCTTAATTAATATTGTGCAAAAAGAACAAAACTTTTTCAAAAATTAAACAGGATTATTCAATTTAATTATTCAATTAAACCTCTAATAATATCCTTCAATTAATCTTATTTCTCTCGCTCTGATCGATACTTGAAAAATTTTAAATTCAAATTAGAAGACAAAATTTAGCTGATGGATTTGATAAAAAGAATTTTTTTTATTATTAATGAAAATTAAACAGTTAAAGCAAAAATTCTGTTTGTAATTTATTTTATTTTAATTATTATTATTTAAAAACTTTCGAAAGGGGAAAAAAATAGAAAATTAAATTTTTTTTTAAATGTTGTAACAAAGTGGTTAGGAAAAAAATATTTATTTTTATAAATTTATTATTTTAAAATTATTTCATTAAATTTTTATTTATTAATTTATTCATTATTAAATTTATTTCAATGATCAAATAAAAAATAAATAATTCTCCAAATAAATAAAAACTATTTAAAATTTATGAATGATAAGAAATAGTTTTGAAAACGACAAAATAGTTATAAAAAACACAAAAATTATTATAAAAATATCAAGATTTTTTTTACAAATATACCAAAATAATTTTTTAAAAAAAGCCAAATAGTTATAATAAAAAGTACAATAATTATTACAACAAAAAAATAGTGTTAAAAAACGCAAAATGGATGTGAAAAAACAAAAAAGTTATAAAAAGATAAAAAATAGTTACAAAAATACCAAAATAATATACAAAAAGACAAAATATTTATAAAAAAACATAAAATAATTAAAAAATACAACTAAAATTATTATAAAAATACTAAAATAATTTTAAAAGACAGAAAAGTAATTAAAACAAAAATATTTACAAAAATACCCAAAGTAATTTCAAAAAGCGAAATTATTACAGCAAAATAATTTTAAAAAACACAAAATAATTGTAAAAAATAAAAATTGTTACAAAAATACAAAAATAGTTTTACAAAACACAAAAATAGTTATAACAAGACTAAAATAGTGTAAATAAAAAAATATATAATTTTCTAAATTAATATGAATCATTATTGTCAAAAATACGTCCCTAAAAATTTCTGAACATTTAAATGAACGAAATTTATTTATTAATTTTTAAAATCTAAATTTGATTGTAACAATTTTATAATTTTAATAATAACAAAATATTATATAAAATAAATAATATTGAGTTGCGTATTAAAAATAATTTATAAAGCTTTTCAAAATTTTTAATTCATATTTGTCATTTTCATTTCAGTGAAATAAAAATATTTATATATTTAATTTTTAAAAATATAATTATAAAAATTAATTTTAATTATAAATTTAATAATTTACAAAAAAAAAAATTATAATAGAAAAAATATTTCATTCACTTGAACAGAAATTTTTGGAAAATGCCAAAATCGAAACGAAAATTCTAATTCCAAAATACTCAAAATCATTTCAATGAGATAAGAAAATAAACACACACACAATTTTCATTTATAAATTAAAATCAAAACAATATTTCTCTTTTCAATCAATAATTCACCAAAAAGGAAAAAAAAATACCATCAAAAAGAATTTTCAATACCTTTCAAAATGATCACCCACGTTAAAAAAGCTCATGTCTTTCACAAATGTCAACACACAATTTCCAGATGCACCTGTAGGATTTTTAAACCGATGACACAAGCACAATTTCCAATTCGATTCAACATCAACCGAAAGAAGCCAATTTTTAAAATTTCTCCTCTTCTTTTTTCCCTCCCCCCAACAAAAATAAATTTCCAATTTTCGCTGAGGAAGAAATTTAATTTTCTCACTTTAAAAAATTCATAATGCTTACAGATGAAAAAAAGAAAAATTCTTCAACAAATTTTTTCTTAATTTGAAAATCGAAAAAATAAAATTGTCACTATTTTTCCATTTACAAGCGAGTTTATCACGAATTCCAATATAGACAAGGAAATTTGGTTAGAAAAAGAAAATTCAGGAAATTATGAAAAATTTTCCTGCTTGCTGTCTGTGTGTGTGTCACTAAGCGGAAGATTCTCCAGGCTCACCCTCGAAAAGACTTCTACTGGGCATCCAGCCATATTCACACTAACTCTTAGTCAAGTACAGCGTGCAACATTAATATTAAGAATCTGAATTTCGTGGGGTTTGCGCAGGTGCAACTTTTATAGCGAAAACGTTCCCTCATGGAGTAAATTTAGAATCGAAAGTATTTCATGTATAAAAAAAAGGGAAGAGATGTATATATAAAATCTCCCTCTGACTAATATCAACTCTCCAGTAAATTATTGATAAAGATAAAGAAGAAAAAAGAAATACAAAAATTTATTCACTATACACAAAAGAAATTTTTCTTTATTTGTAAAATTAATTTTTAGCTGTCACTTGCTCCCCTTAATTTTGCCCGGGTAAATTATTTCTTGCATTTAGTAAATAAATTCATTTTTTCAATTCAAATTATTTTATAGACTTTGATTGTTTTTTCAGATTCGAAATTTTTAAAGGATTTTCTTTCACTTATTTAATTATTGTTAATTGTTAATATTATTACTAATAATTAATTGTATTATTTTCTATTATTTTTACTATTATTTACTCTAACTAATATTTATTATTATTATTTTTTTTTATTACTATTATTAGGTATTACTATTATTATTATTTTTATTACTATTATTATTACTATTATTATTATTTTTATTACTATTTTTATTATTATTTTTATGATTGTTAATATTATTTATTCTTACTAATATTTATATTTCTTCTTATTATTATTACTGTTTCAATTATTATTACATTATAATTTTATCTATTTTCTAAATTATCTTATTTATTTTCTAAATCGTTTATTTAAACTTTTAAATTAAATTCAATAATTTTTATATTTAATTACATAATTTTTTAATTACTGTAAATATTATTTAATTTTATTTACAGTTTTTTCGAGTTTATTTTGAAGTTTCAAAACCAATTAATTTTAGATAATAAATTTTAGATAGTAAATCAAAAAATATTATTTGATAATATTTGATAGTAATTTTGAAACACTAATGACAATATAATATTCAACTATTAATAAAAATCTTGAATTTTCTTTGAAATAATTTTTAAATTCGACATTTAAAAAAAATAGGAGTAAATATTGAAAGCCATTGAAAAATTGAAAATCTCGTTAAATTGTATTCATCGCGTGATTATTATTTGCGAATAAACAGTTAAATTCAACTTCTGATTCTAATGAATAAAACAAACAGTAAATACAGGACGATCCACTTTGAGTGATGACTGCGGCTAACCGCATTGTTTGCACAAAAAATATATGTAAGCTAGTTTTCAACTTTTCACGAAACAACTTCTCCACAATAATAAAATGAAATAGATATTTTTGAAAAATGCATTATGCACATCACTTCAAAAATATTTTAATGCTGTTGGAAAAGAAAATAAATAAATAAATAAATTTTGTAAAAGTAAAAAATTCAGAAAAAAAAATTTCC